AGGTCTTGACCAGGTCTGCACACACTGCAGCAGGGATTTTGGGCCACTCCTCCATACAGACCTTCTCCAGATCCTTCAGGTTTCAGGGCTGTCGCTGGGCAATACGGACTTTCAGCTCCCTCCAAAGATTTTCTATTGGGTTCAGGTCTGGAGACTGGCTAGGCCACTCCAGGACCTTGAGATGCTTCTTACGGAGCCACTCCTTAGTTGCCCTGGCTGTGTGTTTTGGGTCATTGTCATGCTGGAAGACCCAGCCACGACCCAACTTCAATGCTCTTACTGAGGGAAGGAGGTTGTTGGCCAAGATCTCGCGATACATGGCCCCATCCATCCTCCCCTCAATACGGTGCAGTCGTCCTGTCCCCTTTGCAGAAAAGCATCCCCAAAGAATGATGTTTCCACCTCCATGCTTCACGGTTGGGATGGTGTTCTTGGGGTTGTCCTCATCCTTCTTCTTCCTCCAAACACGGCGAGTGGAGTTTAGACCAAAAAGCTCTATTTTTGTCTCATCAGACCACATTACCTTCTCCCATTCCTCCTCTGGATCATCCAGATGGTCATTGGCAAACTTCAGACGGGCCTGGACATGCGCTGGCTTGAGCAGGGGGACCTTGCGTGCGCTGCAGGATTTTAATCCATGACAGCGTAGTGTGTTACTAATGGTTTTCTTTGAGACTGTGGTCCCAGCTCTTTTCAGGTCATTGACCAGGTCCTGCTGTGTAGTTCTGCGCTGATCCCTTACCTTCCTCATGATCATTGATGCCCCACGAGGTGAGATCTTGCACGGAGCCCTAGACCGAGGGTGATTGACCGTCATCTTGAACTTCTTCCATTTTCTAATAATTGTGCCAACAGTTGTTGCCTTCTCACCAAGCTGCTTGCCTATTGTCCTGTAGCCCATCCCAGCCTTGTGCAGGTCTACAATTTTATCCCTGATGTCCTTACACAGCTCTCTGGTCTTGGCCATTGTGGAGAGGTTGGAGTCTGTTTGATTGAGTGTGTGGACAGGTGTCTTTTATACAGGTAACGGGTTCAAACAGGTGCAGTTAATACAGGTAATGAGTGGAGAACAGGAGGGCTTCTTAAAGAAAAACTAACAGGTCTGTGAGAGACGGAATTCTTACTGGTTGGTAGGTGATCAAATACTTATGTCATGCAATAAAATGCAAATTAATTACTTAGAAATCATACAATGTGATTTTCTGGATTTTTGTTTTAGATTCCGTCTCTCACAGTTGAAGTGTATCTATTATAAAAATGACAGACCTCTACATGCTTTGTAAGTAGGAAAACCTGCAAAATCGGCAGTGTATCAAATACTTGTTCTCCCCACTGTATATATATATATATATTCGCGAGAGAAAAAAAACATATGGGGGATTGGAAGTGCTGCAGACAATTACATTGATGGAAGTTACAATCTATCTGCAATATTAAAGCTGATCTACCCCCTAAAATATATATATATATATATATATATATATATATATATATATTAAAATATATATTAAAGGGAAGTTCAGCTTCCGTCCACAGGGGGGCACTGTATCACTGTCAGAAGATACACAACATGACCAAAAGTATGTGGACACCTGCTCGTCGAACTACTCATTGTCATTGTATGCAGTAGCATTAAGATTTCCCTTCACTGGAACTAAGGGTCCTAGACAGAACCATGAAAAACAGCCCCAGACCATTATTCCTCCTCCACCAAACTTTACAGTTGGCGCTATGCATTGGGGCAGGTAGCGTTCTCCTGGCATCCGCCAAACCAAGATTTGTCCGTCGGACTGCCAGATGGTGGAGCATGATTCATTACTCCAGAGAACGCGTTTCCACTGCTCCAGAGTCCAATGGTGGCGAGTTATAAACCACTCTAGCTGACGCTTGGCATTGCGCATGGTGATCTTAGGCTTGTGTGCGGCTGCTCGGCCATGGAAACCAATTTCATGAAGCTCTTGATGAACAGTTATTGTGCTGACGTTGCTTCCAGAGGCAGTTTGGAACTCGGTAGTGAGTGTTGGAACCGAGGACAGACGATTTTTACGCGCTTCAGCACTCAGCTGTCTTTTTCTGTGAGCTTGTGTGGCCTATCACTTCGCGGCTGAGCCGTTGTTGCTCCTAGACGTTTCCACTTCACAATAACAGCACTTATCGTACAGTTGACCAGGGCAGCTCTAGCAGGGCAGAAATTTGACTAACTGACTTGTTGGAACGGTGGCATCCTTTGACAGTTCCACGTTGAAAGTCACTGAGCTCTTCAGTAAGGCCATTCTACTGCCAATGTTTGTATATGGAGATTGCATGGCTGTGTGCTCGATTTAATAAACCTGTCAGCAACGGGTGTGGCAGAAATAGCCGAATCCACTCATTTGAAGGGGTGTCCACATACTTTTGTGTATATATATTGTATGTGCTTCAGTCAGTAAAACGTTCTCTCTTCGGTCTCAGCTAGCTAGTCAGCCAGTAGCTATCGAAGTGGCTAGCCAGCCAAGCTAGCTACAGAAACGAAACCCATCAAATGCACTCGCTGGAAACACTTTTCCTAACATCATCACTCATATCAACATCCTTAGCTTTCCCATTCACTAAATATACTGTTAAATAACTCTGACTGACACCCACCCTGAGTGCTAACACTAGTTTATTAGCATTAGCCAACCCTTATGCTAAGGAGAGACTTATGCTAAATGGAGACTAGCTTGTTAACGTAGCTACCACCAACCCTGCACAAACCAGGCTGTGGCTCCCTCTGCTGCTGCTGCACTTTGACTTTCTGGTAGTTCTGCCGTCTCTGCCTCATTCACTGCTGCCTCAACCTGCTCTCTTTTTTTTGCCACGCTTTCGGAAGAAGTTCAGAATCTGAATATCGTTATTTGGATGGTGGCTGGGGATTGACTGTGAGATAGTGGTCTTTGTGTACCATGCTTGATCAGTTCCACAACCTCTGCAACCCCTTTACTTTCCATCAGAGCCCAGGGATCATCTTCAAATGTACTGTATATGTTTGTGGAGCTGTGCTACAACCCTCAGAACCAACACTTCATAGTCGTAGTCTATGACCTACACTCTAAGCAACCTCTAGGTAACCTGAGGTCACCCTCCCAGGCTCTGTCACTCTCCTCATCTCCTGCTGGGCCTTCCCCAGACCATAATCGCAGCCAACTACCAACAGTATATACCGACCAAATAATAATCCTACCCAACTTCCAAAGGAATAGAAAGGAATATGTAGGACGTGACCTGTAGGACTTTTTGCCACATTCAACATAAAAGATTCCAACCACAGGCCAATTAGGTGTTGGAAAGATCTAAGTGCAGGTCTGTTTGTGACAGCCCTTTATTTTTTTGGGGTACAATTTATTTCATTTATTTAAACAATAACAAACATACATAAACAAAATACAATAAACAGACACACAGCCCTTTCACAGACTCTCCTTCACAACCAGACAACCAACCATTACACTACTGGAGCATCCCCAGGGCGGCAGGTAGCTTAGTGGTTAAGAGCGTTGTGCCAGTAACCGAAAGGTCGCTGGTTCTAATCCCTGAGCCGACTAGGTGAAAAATCTGTCGATGTGCCCTTGAGCAAGGCACTTAACCCTAATTGCTCCTGTAAGTCGCTCTGGATAAGAGCGTCTGCTAAATGACCAATTATTTATTTATTTATATTTATTTATTTATCCCCAGCATCATTCAGATTGAGAAAACATTCCAGTTAGTCAATGGGTCTCATTAGCATGCAAGGTGCATCTGCTGAGTGCCTTTCACCCAACTGTTGTAGAAATGGAAACTGCTGTACTACAGGTTAATTTCCTGTAACTTGGTTACGCTACTGTGTGCTTGTGTTGTGAAAAACATGAACACACATTGAAAAGCTAGTTGGATTCAGCTATTCAAACACAACAGAGGCATGGCAGAGCCGAATATCCATATTTGCTCTGTGCTATGCCTCACACTCTGACTGAGTGACAGGCGTTTTGCTGAGTGATGACATTGCTAACACAGACTGGAATATGTTCCGGGATTCATCCGATGGCATTGAGGAGTATATCACCTCAGTCACCGGCTTCATCAATAAGTGCATTGACGACGTCATCTCCACAGTGACCGTACGTACATATCCCAACCAGAAGCCACCATAGTCCCTGTGCCCAAGAAAGCGAAGGTAACCTGCCTAAATGACTACCGCCCCGTAGCACTCACGTCGGTAGCCATGAAGTGCTTTGAAAGGCTGGTCATGGCTCACATCAACACCATCATCCCAGAAACCCTAGACCCACTCCAATTCGCATACCGCCCCAACAGATCCACCGATAAAGCAATCTCAATTGCACTCCACACTGCCCTTTCCCACCTGGACAAAATGAACACCTATGTGAGAATGCTGTTCATTGACTACAGCTCAGCGTTCAACACCATAGTGCCCACAAAGCTCATCACTAAGCTAAGGACCCTGGGACTAAACACCTCCCTCTGCAACTGGATCCTGGACTTCCTGACAGGCCGCCCCCATGGTGGTTGAGATGGAGACATGAATCCAACATATTTATTATTGACTTGAAGATTACATTTGAAATCAACCAAGGTTGAAACCCTAACATTAGGCCTATATGTATTGTCTATTTTTTTGTTGAACCCTGGGTTGAATTGAAACCTAACAGCTGTTGATGACTTTACAAATGCTATATAGGCCTAAATAGTATCACTGATGATATGACTTATACAGTATGGTAACATTTAATTTGCTCTTTTAAACCTACCCTTTCGACTGACTTCGATAACAACAGTGAATCTATTTAGTTATTAAGAGATCCATCAATAATCATTTTCAGGATAGCACATTGGTAGTATTCACTATTCACTGACAAATATCAAAGCTAAACTGGGCTTGATTAAACAACAGTTGCCTGACTATCCAGACTCCGGCCAAACGCTACGCCGCACCCACGTTTATATAGCGAACGACAGAGCACCGGAAGATAAGTGGGAAGGCTTTCACAGTAGCCTATCTGCTGAGTGGGAGAGAAGCAGAGGAGAGGAGTTGCAAAAATACTTGGTTGTTTTAATACGAAAAGGATCGAAATGGTTCTTCTGCTTTTATGTATGATGTCGGTGAGTAGCTTAGGCTACAAATTGCCTATATTGATGTTGAGTGTTTGGTTTCTTTTGACTTCATTTTACAATTGATGCGTTTTTAACAAAGGTTGCCAAATGCGTAAAAGCTCATTCAACACTTTCACTTTCGATGTCGTTTTGAAGCAACGGCCTCTACAAAAAATATGTCCGTTAAAGCTATAATGTCGCAATATTTAGTTATTTTACTTGCTCTAATGTGACACATTTGCGCAACTGGCTTGTGAAATGTGGTTTATAGGCAATATTACAAATCCTCACAAAAGGGCTTTAGTTTTTGAGATACCCCAACCCGAGGTTTTCACGACTCTAATTTATCCAATTTATTAAATGGATGGTCATGAAAAATTATTTGACTGCAAAAGTGGTTAAATTGATAGATATTATGACATACCCCCTAAACTCAAAACGTACAGAATAATGCCTGGCTGGAGGGGGATGGGCGACATAAGCTCATGTAACCATAGCTGCGGGAAGTATGGGTGTTGAGGGTGCTGCAGCGCCCCCTGAAAAATCTTAATCAAATATTAATTACAAAAAAAAGATAAAAAAAGTGAACACATTTTTTTTTTTTACAAAGGCGCTGGGCCTTTACTATTCATACCTTAATAATAGGTGGAAATATCAACTATGAAAATGAATGATGAATGTAAGCTTTACTTTTTGGTAGCTGACAAATACATGTTACACATGTTTTTTGATGTTGTGGCTATTGTAATCTAATCGGTTCTAAGGAAAACAAGTGGACTGAGACAGTGAAAACAGTCATTTCTTTTCAGTCAACTGTTCCTCTGTAGATTGTATATGTTCAGCCTCTAGCAATTATGTTAGATTTGACTCCAAATCAGAGGAGGCTGGTGGGAGGAGCTATAGGAGGACGGGCTCATTATAATGGCTGGAATGGAATTAATGGAACGGTATCAAACATATGGAAACTGTTCCATTTATTCCCTTCCAGCCATTACAATGAGCCTGTCCTCCTATAGCTCCTTCCACCAGCCTCCTCTGCTCCAAATCAAGGATAGTGTCCAAAATCCAAAATGGCTGCCACAATACCATTTAGATGGTGGTTTAATCACCTGTAGAGTGCAGTCGGAAAGTATTCAGACCCCTTTACTTTTTACACATTTTATGTTATAGCCTTATTCTAAAATGGATAAAATTGTTTTTTCCCCCCTCATCCATCTACACACAATACCCCATAATGACAAATCAAAAACAGGTTTTTAGAAAAGTTAGCAAATTTATAAAAAATAAAAAAACGGATATCACATTTACGTACAGTACCAGTCAAAAGTTTGGACACACGTACTCATTCAAGGGTTTTTCTTTATTTTTACTATTTTCTACATTGTAGAATAATAGTGAAGACATCAAAACATTGAAATAACACATATGGAATCATGTAGTAACCAAAAAAGTGTTAAACAAATCAAAATATTTTAGATTTTAGATTCTCCTGCAGCCCAATATGGCGACCAGAGTATGGGCGAGTGGGTGTATGGAACGCGAATCAGCTAATTGGGCAGATTTGTTACCACTCAAGACCATTTTGCGTGGCTGATTGGGTTGCACTACGAGTCGATAGTAGGACACCAGGATCAAGTTACAACCCGTGCATTTCTTGACAGATAGCTGAACTAGCCTATTGAGTTGTTTCGAATTTTGTCCTGGCAGCTGAATTGTTTGGAGATACAGTAGGTCCTGACAGCTGTAAAAAAAAATAATATAATAATCCCGGTCACGGAAAATGACAAAAAATACTTGTTTCAGAAGCATCCGTGATCACAAATCAAAACGTTACTTTGGACCAAGTTGCATTGAATAGATGTTATATTCTCAAACTTAACAGCAGTACCTGTATGATGTCCTTCCATTTACAGGTGATTTGAGCTCCATCAATTGTTATTATGGCAGCCATATTGGATTTTGGACGCCATATTGGATTTGCAGCAAAATCCAGGATGACCCTAAAAATAATCTGTGGTGGCCCCCTGACTATTGCAATTGTAACTGTATGTGTTTTTGTCAGGCAGGATCATACAACACTGAATGATAGCAAATATGACTTGGAAAGTTGTCTATTAATCAGTTCCCAAAAATTACATTCATCATAAATATTCATAGTTGATATTTCTATCTATTGTATCTGTGTTTACAGGTCTATATTTCCAAGATGGATTAAGATATCCTAATGTTGTTTGGTTGTGTGTGTAGGGCAGACAACTGACTACTTGTATTCCACATTTTAGCTATATCAGAGCTTGCAATATTGGGTTACATGAGTTTATGTAACCCCCCCCCCCCACACACACTCCAGTCAGGCATTATTCTGCACTTTTTTTTAGTTTAGGGTGTGTGTTACAATACAGTGGGGGAAAAAAGTATTTAGTCAGCCACCAATTGTGCAAGTTCTCCCACTTAAAAAGATGAGAGAGGCCTGTAATTTTCATCATAGGTACACGTCAACTATGACAGACAAAATGAGAAAAAAAAAAACAGAAAATCACATTGTAGGATTTTTAATGAATTTATTTGCAAATTATGGTGGAAAATAAGTATTTGGTCAATAACAAAAGTTTCTCAATACTTTGTTATATACCCTTTGTTGGAAATGACACAGGTCAAATGTTTTCTGTAAGTCTGCACAAGGTTTTCACACACTGTTGCTGGTATTTTGGCCCATTCCTCCATGCAGATCTCCTCTAGAGCAGTGATGTTTTGGGGCTGTCGCTGGGCAACACAGACTTTCAACTCCCTCCAAAGATTTTCTATGGGGTTGAGATCTGGAGACTGGCTAGGCCACTCCAGGACCTTGAAATGCTTCTTACGAAGCCACTCCTTCGTTGCCCGGGCGGTGTGTTTGGGATCATTGTCATGCTGAAAGACCCAGCCACGTTTCATCTTCAATGCCCTTGCTGATGGAAGGAGGTTTTCACTCAAAATCTCACGATACATGGCCCCATTCATTCTTTCCTTTACACGGATCAGTCGTCCTGGTCCCTTTGCAGAAAAACAGCCCCAAAGCATGATGTTTCCACCCCCATGCTTCACAGTAGGTATGGTGTTCTTTGGATGCAACTCAGCATTCTTTGTCCTCCAAACACGACGAGTTGAGTTTTTACCAAAAAGTTCTATTTTGGTTTCATCTGACCATATGACATTCTCCCAATCCTCTTCTGGATCATCCAAATGCACTCTAGCAAACTTCAGACGGGCCTGGACATGTACTGGCTTAAGCAGGGGGACACGTCTGGCACTGCAGGATTTGAGTCCCTGGCGGCGTAGTGTGTTACTGATGGTAGGCTTTGTTACTTTGGTCCCAGCTCTCTGCAGGTCATTCACTAGGTCCCCCCGTGTGGTTCTGGGATTTTTGCTCACCGTTATTGTGATCATTTTGACCCCACGGGGTGAGATCTTGCGTGGAGCCCCAAATCGAGGGAGATTATCAGTGGTCTTGTATGTCTTCCATTTCCTAATAATTGCTCCCACAGTTGATTTCTTCAAACCAAGCTGCTTACCTATTGCAGATTCAGTCTTCCCCAGCCTGGTGCAGGTCTACAATTTTTTTTCTGGTGTCCTTTGACAGCTCTTTGGTCTTGGCCATAGTGGAGTTTGGAGTGTGACTGTTTGAGGTTGTGGACAGGTGTCTTTTATACTGATAACAAGTTCAAACAGGTGCCATTAATACAGGTAACGAGTGGAGGACAGAGGAGCCTCTTAAAGAAGAAGTTACAGGTCTGTGAGAGCCAGAAATCTTGCTTGTTTGTACGTGACCAAATACTTATTTTCCACCATAATTTGCAAATATATTCATAAAAATCCTACAATGTGATTTTCTGGAGAAAATAAATCTCAATTTGTCTGTCATAGTTGACGTGTACCTATGATGAAAATTACAGGCCTCTCTCATCTTTTTAAGTGGGAGAACTTGCACAATTGGTGGCTGACTAAATACTTTTTTCCCCCACTGTATCTATCTATTTAAACATTTTGCAGTAAACTATTTTTTCACAACCATCCATTTCATAAATGGGAGATGTGAAAAACATGCTTGTATTTGGTTCTACCTCGGGTAGGGTTATCAAAAAATGTGGTGGCCTTGCCACAAGCCTATTAGACTAGAGCGTGAATTTAGGTACTTTCCACCCCTATCTTAGTGGTCGGTCTTGCGACAGTAGAGGTGAGAATAGATCATTGTATGGACTCTTTTTTTCGACCTTCTTTTTACAGGTTTTGTCCGTGGTTTCCTCATGTGATCCAGAAACACAGTATTTGAAGAATAGTGAGTGTTGCAATATGTGTGGGCCAGGTAAGGAAGAGACCATTCATTATTTGACGTATCTGTACTCCTATCAGCCTTTAGAAAAAACATTGAGTGAAACTGAGTCAATATACCCATAGGATCTACACTCAATATTCATAATCAGAAAACGTTATTATCTTAACAGGCACCAAGATGTTATCCAGCCATAGTGGTTGTCTTGATCCACATTGTATGCCATGCCAAGAGGGTGAATACCAGAATGCATTCACAGAGAAGAACCTCTGTAAACTGCAACCATACTGCGACCCAAGTGAGACTTTTGATGATCTTTATGTATTTGAAGACATAGTATGTGTCCGTAATCTGAGGCGTCATGCCCATAGAGTGCACAGGGGCAAGATTTGTCCTGTAAAACAAATATTTAAAAATGAATTAGTTTTTTCTCTGTAATGTTACTATCCACTTAGCTATTTTATGAAGTTGGCTTTAGCTAGCCCAGTTAGGTTCCCAATCCCCCAAACTTATAACTAGCTACCAAGAAGCCATTTCAGACTATCAATCAAGTTAGAGTAGCTTAGCTATCTTAGCTGGCATGCCTGCTGGCAAGGTTGGTAGACTTTAGAAAAGCAAGCATGTACTGAATAAGACTCACAATCCTTTCAATCATTTACCCATGATTTTAGCAGAGCTGCAGAGAAGCATATTTAATTTATTTTTAAAAAAGAACCATCAGTCAGGAGGATACAGACAGCTCAAGAGGTATGCTTAGATATGCAGAAATATAGACATATTTATTACATAGAATTAATGATTATGGCTCTAGATTGCAGGACAAAGCTGTTTCAGGTGTTTGAAAAATGCCCCCCCTCCTGACCACCCCCCAGCCATCCTTGCTTACTTTGTGCCCCCTCAGATTATTGGGGTGCATGACGCCCCTGTCCGAAATGGCACCCTTTTGCCTATATATTGCATTACTGAAAGCCCTGGTCAAAAGTAGTGCACTAAGGAATAGCATGCCATTTCAGATGCATGTAGGACCTACTGTTTATCTGGCTTATCTTTTTGTAAAAACACAACACTTGTATCTCCTTCCTGCCACAGATAAAAACTTTGAGCACAGTACCAATAGGAACAAGACAAGCCTCAGCCCATGCAAATGTAAGACTGGATACCACTGTTCCAGTGAAGAGTGCCTGACATGTTTTCCACATACTAAATGCAGACCTGGAGAAGAGGTCCTTTCCAAAGGTAGAAAACACGCACTTTCATGATGCTATCAGCAACGATTGAGTTCTAGACTAGTGTGCCTACTATGTATTCAAATATGGCTTTTAATTTTCTGTTTCTATTCTGTTGTATTCTATTAAATTGTTTCCGCTGCTAGAGTTAGGCTAGATTGGTCACTCTAACCGTATACTGTATATTTTCTCAGGTAACCCCATACATGACACAGTGTGTCAGGCCTGTCCTTTAAACATGTTCTCCAGTCACAGCTCTGCAGAGAGCATGTGCAAGCTATGGACAGTGTGAGTAGTTTGATCCTTGTACCATAAAACATTTGATGTGTATGTTATCATACTGTAAATGAAACAGCAGCCATCATACACATAATAATGTTGGTTTGTTTGATCCCAAATTATGTTTTCAGTTGTAAGTCTGGATTCAACACTGAAGCCCAAGGGACAGCCACCTCAGACACGGTCTGTGGTAAGTACTGAAAGGGTCCACACGTTGAACGCAACACAAATTACACATATCACAACATTTCCATTCTACTATATTGAATTGGTGAACTATACAATGTATTCCTTCATTGTCAGTTGACCATCACTTCCTCACTGTAACTCATTCACTTGAATTGTGCTACATGGTAGGAGGGGACTGTTTATCTGGGTTTCGAAATCACAGCATAAACCGAAACTTGTGGTGGGACTGTGGGAGTGTTTTCTCAGTATTACAGTAGTCTGTAGTAGGGAGGCTAACAGTAGCCTGTAGTAGGGTGGCTAACAATAGCCTGTAGTAGGGAGGCTAACAATAGCCTGTAGTAGGGTGGCTAACAATAGCCTGTAGTAGGGAGGCTAACACTAGCCTGTAGTAGGGTGGCTAACACTAGCCTGTAGTAGGGCGGCTAACAGTAGCCTGTAGTAGGGAGGCTAACAATAGCCTGTAGTAGGGAGGCTAACAATAGCCTGTAGTAGGGTGGCTAACAATAGCCTGTAGTAGGGTGGCTAACAGTAGCCTGTAGTAGGGTGGCTAACAGTAGCCTGTAGTAGGGTGGCTAACAGTAGCCTGTATTAGGGTGGCTAACAGTAGCCTGTAGTAGGGAGGCTAACAGTAGCCTGTAGTAGGGAGGCTAACAATAGCCTGTAGTAGGGAGGCTAACAATAGCCTGTAGTAGGGAGGCTAACAGTAGCCTGTAGTAGGGTGGCTAACAGTAGCCTGTAGTAGGGTGGCTAACAGTAGCCTGTAGTAGGGTGGCTAACAGTAGCCTGTAGTAGGGAGGCTAACAGTAGCCTGTAGTAGGGAGGCTAACAGTAGCCTGTAGTAGGGTGGCTAACAGTAGCCTGTAGTAGGGTGGCTAACAGTAGCCTGTAGTAGGGAGGCTAACAATAGCCTGTAGTAGGGAGGCTAACAATAGCCTGTAGTAGGGTGGCTAACAATAGCCTGTAGTAGGGTGGCTAACAGTAGCCTGTAGTAGGGTGGCTAACAGTAGCCTGTAGTAGGGTGGCTAACAGTAGCCTGTAGTAGGGTGGCTAACAGAAGCCTGTAGTAGGGCGGCTAACAGTAGCCTGTAGTAGGGCGGCTAACAATAGCCTGTAGTAGGGTGGCTAACAGTAGCCTGTGTAGTACGTCTGTCGACACTAGTCTAAGGGACACAGGCCGTAGGCTACGGTTGGTTGGTTAACAATAGTTGGTTGAATTGTTTGTCATGTTCTTTTGATTTACTTTACAGTACCAGGATCCATGTCCTCTGGAGCAATAGCAGCAATTGTAATTGCCCTAGCTGCTTTGGTTTTGGCCATTGTCGTGTGCAAATTTAAAGGTATTTAACACTAATGTATTATGTTATTTGAGTGATAACTTTACATTGGAATCTTTGAGTAATCATATTTTAATTTTGTTCTAGGTCAACTCGGAGAGGCCTTCAAGAAAGCAAATGTACGTTCTCTATATACCTTTTGTACCAGCCATGACAGTAATACTGCTATTCTGTTATATTTAGACACTAATTCACAGATGTATTGTGTCATTCACCGTAGGAATCCTGTATGGATTTTAATCTTAAGAGGGGAACTAAGAGGGCTACAGCAGATCGAAATGCAGAAGAGGGAAACGCGGAAGGACCTGAAGAGGGGAAGGAACAACTTCAACATATGCTCCTTGGAGAGCCACCATCAACACAATCCCCACCATTACAATTTACTCAAATACCAGAGGAGAGTGAAATCGGGTCTTATGCCGAAGCTAACGACATGACAGAAAATGGACATTTGGTGGCGCAGGAGGAGGGTAAAGCACACCATACTTCTGTTCCACAAGATTACTAGTGACTTTTGTATACGGCTTTAGATCACATGACCACCTGGCTTCACCTATTGCTTAACATGATAAACAACAGCCAGGTTGAGCATTAATACAGTAGCAGTGTGTTGGAAAATCACTGGGGAAGCCAAGACAGTAAAAAAGTCATATTACAACCTATGTTGTGATAATTGCGTTGTTTGCTCTATAACCCATTTGTTCATACACCACCATGATATACAGTAAGGCTGTGACAACAAAAAGACAACAGTCACACAGTGGTGGAATAAATTCCATTGCACATACATTTGTTTAATCACAAAACCGGAGTGCAACATCTGTCCAATGAGGTCCACAATGAAAAAATTGCACATAACGAAGTTATGTATGTGCAATGTTAATGTTTTCGACAGTTTAGTAAACAACTACTGATTTAGAACCACGTAATTACCACAAGTCAGCACAAAGACAACAGGAGCACTGCCTCCGCTGTTCCAGCACCATTTCAACTTAAACATTTAAACATCATCAAATCAACAAGGATATAAATGCTTAGTTTAATACACTGAAAACAAACTTAAAGATACCAAAAACATTTTAGTCCAATCAATGTTGCTAAATATAATGTGGCTGTCCATGGTACCGATTTCTGTCTTGCTGTGTGTGTGTGTGCTTGCGCAAGTAAAAAAAAAAGTTAACTCACCCTAATTGTAGACTAGTTGAACGCCAAAGCCATCCTCCTCTCTTTCATGTTGGCAAAACGGTCTATGGCTTTGTCATACAGTACGCTTTTAGTTTTTATTTTCATAGGCTACCTAGCTAAAATGCTTGCTATCCTAACTTCTTCACATGGGCAACAATTATTAATATGGTTGAATATTCTGTACATTGTAAACTGTTGTAAATTTATTGGTTGCTGTATTCTGTTATTGAAGATGTTCATAAACACACTAGAGAATGCCTTTTTTATTATATCTTTCTGTTTTGTTGTTTTGTTTTTTATTCAAAATTATCATTTAAAATCAAGATAATTTTTTGTGTCACTTTCAATTGAAGTTACATTTATAAAGTATAGGTTATAATATTGTTGGAGCACACAGTACCTGGCCTTTTATCATCCTGAGTGGCGCAGTGGTCTAAGTGGCGCAGTGGTCTAAGGCACTGCATCGCAGTGCTAACTGTGCCACTAGAGATCCTGGTTCGAATCCAGGCTCTGTCGCAGCCGGCCGCGACTGGGAGACTCATGGGCGGCGCACAATTGGCCCAGCGTTGTCCAGGGTAGGGGAGGGAATGGCCGGCAGGGATGTAGCTCAGTTGATAGAGTTTGCAACGCCAGGGTTGTGGGTTCGATTCCCACGGGGGGCCAGTATAAAAAAATATGTATTCACTAACTGTAAGTCGCTCTGGATAAGAGCGTCTGCTAAATGACTAAAATGTAAATGTAATACAATACTTTTACATTTTTGGGTCAGTAGCAGGTACTCAGATTTTCCACAAGGGGGAGGTAGTGCTTCACTAGATGGCGCTGACTAGAACCTTGAGATTTCAGCATCAGTCAGGGGGTGGACTTCACCCTCTGGTGGCTCCCAGTGGAGGAAAAAGTACCCTATTGTCATACTTGAGTAAAAGTATGATACCTTAATACAATATGACTCAAGTAAAAGTGAAGGTCACCCAGTAAAATACTACTTGAGTAAAAGTCTAAAAGTATTTGGTTTTAAATATACTTAAAAATCAAAAGTAAATGTAATTGCAAAAATATACTTAAAGTAAAAGTAAAAATATAGATCATTTCAAATGTCTTATATTTAGCAAACCAGATGGTACAATTTTCTTGTTTTTTTATTTATTTATCGATAGCCAGGGGCACACTCCAACACTCAGACATAATTTTCAAAAGAAGCATTTGTGTTTAGTGAGTCCACCAGATCAGAGGCAGTAGGGATGACCAGGGATGTTCTCTTGAGAAGTGTGTGAATGACAATTTTCCTGTCCTGCTAAGCATTCAAAATGTGGGTGTCAGGGAAAATGTATGGAGTAAAAAGTACATTGTTTTCTTTAAGAATGTAGTGAAGTGAAAGTTGTCAAAAAATATAAATAGTAAAGTACAGATACCCCCCAAATAATTGTTTTTATACTTTACACTACAGGTGGCTCTGTCATACTTTTGTGGAAATGTCATGATCTTGGGAGGACAGAACAGAAGGGTACTCATAAATATACATATTAGCTTTACCTTTTTTGATGCTGTAAACAAGTTAATTCTGTCACAATTAAAACTATAAATTAAAATGTTCCATGTAGCTTGGGTATTTTAACAATTAAAAAAGATAACCAGCAATGTATTAGACTGTTTTAAAAGTATAGAGTGTGCTTGGATTAATCAATGCTGTACTTGTTTTAATGCAAAGAGATTTGAATTAAATATGTCAACTAGTTTGTGATAGATTGGGTCCTGTTTTGTCTCCGTTCTGAGGGATCACACCCTATATAGTCTAGGATTATGATCCTTTGGGCCACCTGTAAAACGGGGGACCAATCAACCCTCTGTGTTTCCAGTGGACTGGATGTGTGTGTCTCAAGGTGGGATGAAGAAGGGGAGATGGTGCAAGATGGTGCATTTCAGGCCAATCACCCAGGTTTCCTCTTAGGGGTTTTCTCATTATCCCTGGATTAGTGGAGGTACAGCCCTTTACATGGAAACTTGGGTGATTGGCAAGGGAGAGGTCTTCTAGTCTTTCACCCCCCACTCATCTCCCCCTAACTGAATCTCACCCATCAGACCCTGTAGGTATGATCTCCTGTTGTCTGATTATGTCAGTTTATCTCCTACACACACACACAATCTCTCTCTCCATGTGGTTAGGAGATGCAGAACACTGAACTGGTTTTGGTTAGCAGGCCTACTCCCCATACTGGACACCTCAAGTTGAATTGTAGGATCAATCTGTTTATACTCATCTGCAGTTCTACTGTGTTCCATTTTTAAATGTTATTATTCAACTCCTGTCTGAATTTGGAAATCACCCCTATGCAGTTTCCTTGTTTGGTCTATGTTCCATCAAAGTGTGATTATCACCCTGCATGGCCCAACAATGAGATGACCAACTACTTTACTATTAATTAATTTAAATAATTTAAACTGATAAAAGGAATAATTCAGTCAGTGAACATGTCACCATGGGCCACGATTCATTTTCATCCTTGATTTACTCAACAACATTTATTCTGTATAAACTGGAGGATTGGGGTTTAGATAACGAATATTTAATTTGCATATCAAGCAGATCTGTTAAATCTTTCCAAACAGTCAGGTATTAGGCAATATGCTTGGATAAAAATCGTAATAAACTACCAGAATAAGTTTGGAAAGCTAAATTTAAATGTTCGATTGTGGCCTTGCCAGACCTTGCCCCAAAAACAGTAAGAACTGGTGAATGATCAACACATGACAATTCCATTTCATATTTTGAGGGATTTTATTTTACCAAAATAAATGTTAATGATAAGACAAATGAAATTATAATGTACAGATTGTTAATCGTAAATACATATACACTTATGTACACAAAACATATCTCTTTAAGAGTCTTCGGTCTTACAAGAAGCCTAATAACATATAGGCCTGCCCAGCAAAAAATTAAGCCTGTTCCAATCCCTGGAGTTTGGCATTTTAAAGTGCAAAAGATGTAAACGTGTTTTTGGTCATTTAAAATTGTAAATGATTCGTTAAAGAATATCGTGAGCAGTATATCTGGGAATATACAGTCTGTTCCTTGATGCCCAATCTGACCAGAATTTGCCAACTTCTGTGCTCCTGGGATGACACGCATTGTCCTGGTGGGGCTTTTTCACCGTTTCCGAGGTCGCGGTTTCCGCCAAAGACCATATTTTGGGCTTTTGACACTCAACGTTGTCCTTACATCCTATAGGAGATGGGGATGATGTGCGTTCCGTGTCACTCTTTTCGACATAATTTTCCCCGTGAGCGCGCGTGCTGTCTCTATGGTCATCGCTTGATTGTTTCACCAGGCGTGCATCCACCAACTCTGGCGTTGAGTTGTCCACTCTATGTCCAATATCCTCCACCTTGTTATCGACGGTTTGAGGATCTATTTCTTCTTCATCATCCAAAGCGCTTTTCTGCAGAGAGCCATCACCCTCCTCCTCGTCGCTTTCGCCCTCCTCCTCGTCAGATTTCCCCTTGAACGCCCAGCTCACCCTATTCTCCTTCTTCAGTCGTCGCCTGGCGTTGGCAAACCAAGTTGACACCTGCGTGAGGCTCATCTTGGTTACGATGGCAAGCATGATTTTCTCGCCCTTCGTGGGATATGGGTTCTTGAGATGCTCATTCAACCAGGCCTTGAGCGCGCTGGTGCTTTCCCGCGTAGCCACCTTGGCGACTCTGCTTGGGTCATCGGTTGCGCCTGGTCGGTATTGCGGGTAGAACGGCCCTCCTCGGCCGAGAAGCGCTTGATAATACGGAGAGACAGTTTTCAGGTCGAAGGAGTTGTTCTGAAAACACAAGATAGTTATTAAACACAACGTTTAAACTTCTGCGTAACCGGCCATACTGATTTGTCAAGTGCGTAATTACGCATGACATTTTATTGGCGAGAAATGCAAGCATCAAGCATAGTTATACGTTCTGTTTTATCTAATACTGAAATATTAGTCATTCAGATTACAACATTAACTGTACATGTAATGAATTATCCATTAGAAGCATAGGCTGTTCTCAAGTAACTTACGATGTGCGCAATGTGTCTGTAGTGTGGATATGGGATAAAGTTGTATCCCTGCAGTCCTGAATATGCCAAAGGGACCCCAGCCATAGCTGCAAGATGAGGGGCTTGTTGCTGTTGTACCCCGGGTGGACATCCCAAAGCCGGTATCTGATATCCAGGGGGCATGTTGACGTTTCTGTCAAAGAAGAAGTTGCCAAATCCAGTTTGTGATGCAGGCATCCTTACGTCCTGACTATCAGATTTTGAATGACAGTATGTGCACCCTCGCGAACTCTTAATATACCCCTGTGAAGTTATGGGCGTTCCTTCGCCGCGGCAACTGACGAGTTCAAAAGACTCGCTTTCACTCGGACCAAATCCCATCAAAGGAGAACTCCGCTGTTCCTTTTAACGGTTTCTTAAAGGCGCTAAATAGCCTACGTGATACTTATCTCGAACCAAGCATTTCTATGGTGAGAGACGAATAATTAAACTTCATTTGAAATTCACCATTTTGATTCTGATGCTGAGGATATAGATCTAGCTAACTATTTCTCATAATTGACTTACTATTTTTTGTCACAACACGATCGATAAACTTAATAATGGAACAATTCCAAACTATTAATTTATGGGTCACCTGAAATTAGCCAAAATTCCACCTTTTATTTCTCAGCTTTATCAACGCCCAATCAATCGTAATCATTTCACCTCTTTACTTATACCTACATTATAAAAAATCAAACAAAATTAAGTGTATTACAGGCAAAGAATAAACACATTTTCTAAAAAGAATGAAACTGTTTTAAACTCATAATTCATATTAAATAGACTGTTTTATGCATAACCTATATAACCTATCAAGTTTCCCATCGAATTTGATAAGAAAATTACGTGAATAAGATTAACACCAGGCAGACCTTAACGTAGCCTATCTTGTCTGACGATCAGACAGACCTCTGTTGGAAATTGACGTCTGAACATATAGCTGTGAATTGAATTAGCCAACTGAATTAGTCTAATGATGTTAACAGATTTTCAGGTTTTTTTCCATGACCATTGACTGAAACTGTCATGTCTTTAATATATTGTTATTTGGATTTGTCTGAGGTTTCATCTAATATTTCTCTCTTGAATTAAGCTATTGGTTTTTGTAGCTTATACTAAATGTCCCTCAACAACTGAAACGAAAAATGTAGGCTTTATGCTGATATTCCACAAGTCTATCTTAAACTATTAAATTAATATAAAATCGGAAACCATCTCTCACATTTAGTTAGATACCAATTGACTTTATTTACTATTCCTAATGAACAAATGTAGGCTTATTCTTTGGGTGTGAATTGGTCAATGGGTTTACCTGCCTCAGAACATTTTTGTTAATTTATTGTGATTGAACCATAACAAACTACCCTTTACATGTCGGATAGTTTTGTTGTGGCTTCAGCATATCGTTTCAATGGGGCTAATTAAAAGCGGTTAAGTGAAACAGGTGTTGACTAATGTATATGATAATTATGAGATAACAAATGGTGATGCGGGAAGGTTGAGTGATTGTTGAAGATACGAGAAGAAGAATAATTCTTATTCCACTCTGCCCTTTTATGTTCTACAAAAGGACATTAGTTGAAGGATACGTTTTTACAGCTTTTGAGCGCACTATAGGTATTTCTGGATAATTTCTAAAAGGGTGAATTGTTAAATATAAGTATTAACATATCAGTGAATAAAATGTTGCCATGTTTGCATAAAAGTGTAATATATATATATATATATATATATATATATATATATATATATATAAAACAAAGTATAGCCTACATATCTTTATTGATTTATTTGTTAAAACAAATGTATCGAAATAATGTAATTGAAGTAAGATCCATTTATAACAGAAGACTAGCATCTGCTATTCATCTGTTATTAGCATAATTAATGTCCTACATTATCTTGATGTAAATGTTCACATTATGCTGAACATTGTGGTTATTCAAAAGGCCTATTCCACAGATTTTGTTATAAAAATGTTTGTTTCTTTCTGTCTGTGTGTGTTGTGCATTAGGTAGATGGAGAGAGATAAACAATGGGAAGAAATAGAGGGGAGAGGGGGTATTTGGGCAAAGTCCCTCGGGCCTAGAGCAAATTTGTACAACTGGTACAATGAGTTGACTGGAGAGTAAAAAGTCAGAGGCTTAGCTAATGCCATCAGTATGTCTCAAGACACAAACCGCTCAGGGCAATTGCTTTTGTCTGACTTGTAGACTGTCCTTTCAATTCTTTTCCTCTTTCGCATGTCAGCGACAATGCAGGTGTTGGTCTTGTTCTGACAGGTTGCATATGTTTGCTCTCAGGATGTCCTTCGTTTGCCCAGAAAAGTGGCCAAATGGAGGTGGACTGTCCTCAGTTCCCTTTGAGATACAGTATACAAGATAAGATGAATGATAGTCTCTCGTGAGTGTTATATGGCCAGCACATGCACGATTTGGCTGGTCTTAAGATAAGGTGAATGGAAAAGTTTCCTCTGTCCTCTAGGAAAACCCCCTTTTAGACAAGACAAGTAGGCCTACTTTAGTCCATCATAGATGGATCGACTGGAAGCCTCAATGATGCCTTTCATTTCCCATTCTCATACTGTATTCTATATCTGTGCCCCACTATAGTCAAACAGTGGGCCTCTGACTGATGAGAAGATCCAGGACCATGACAACAGCGTGAGTCCTAATGAGCTACTAACAACAATGGGCTTAGGTGTGACTTCAATTACTGGTCATCACCTGCCGCTGAGCTGACACAACAAAAGGCCTAAGTACAGTATGTCAATAGAATAGCTCACGAGAAGGTGTGAACAACACAACAATAGCTTAAAGGGAATCTACAGAGTATTCAACACCTAGTCCTTGTTAGTTTTTTTAAACCCCAACCAGATACCTGTACTTCTCCTAATAGAGAGGGAAAGTGGTAAGCAGAGAGTAAATCTGGATATTTGGCATAAAGAGGGAATGGAATACATTTCTAAAAAGCTTATTTTAATATAATTCACCCAAATACAGAACTAATCACTGCTAATATAACGTAATCATAGGAGGCAAGATACACTTCCTCTTTAAATCTGACTCAATGAAACAAGTCAATGTATCAACATGCCCATTCCAGGTCCATTCTGTTCCATTTCCAGGAAATTAAGTGAATGTCAACTCATGACATGGAAAAATCCTCATATAGCAATACATTCTCCTCTAGTTGATAAAGAACCAAAACAATTGTTACCAGAAATCTTAAATCAAAGTTTTAAAACTATACAGTGGCTTGCGAAAGTATTCACCCCCTTGGCATTTTTCCTATTTTGTTGCTTTACAGCTCGGGGGGGGGGGGGGGGGGGGGGTTGTATCATTTGATTTACCCAACATGCCTACCATTTTGAAGATGCTCCAGCTCCTTCAAGTTGGATGGGTTACACTGGTGTACAGCAATCTTTAAGTCATACCACAGATTCTCAATTGGATTGAGGTCTGGGCTTTGACTAGGCCATTCCAAGACATTTAAATGTTTCCCCTTAAACCACTCAAGTGTTGCTTTAGCAGTATGCTTAGGGCCATTGTCCTGCTGGAAGGTGAACCTCCGTCCCAATCTCAAATCTCTGGAAGACTGAAACAGGTTTCCCTCAAGAAATTCCCTGTATTTAGCGCCATCCATCATTCCTTCAATTCTGACCAGTTTCCCAGTCCTTGCTGATGAAAAACATCCCCACAGCATGATGCTGTTCTCGGGGTGATGAGAGGTGTTGGGTTTGCGCCAGACATAGCGTTTTCCTTGATGGCCAAAAAGCTCAATTTTAGTATCATCTGACCAGAGTACCTTCTTCAATATGTTTGGGGAGTCTCCCACATGCTTTTTGGCAAACACCAAACGTGTTTGCTTATTTTTTTCTTTAAGCAATGGCTTTTTTTCTGGCCACTCTTCCGTAATGCCCAGCTCTGTGGAGTGTATGGCTTAAAGTGGTCCTATGGACAGATACTTCAATCTCCGCTGGGGAGCTTTGCAGCTCCTTCAGGGTTATCTTTGGTCTCTTTGTTGCCTCTCTGATTAATGCCCTCCTTGCTTGGTCTGTGAGGTTTGGTGGGCAGCCCTCTCTTGGCAGGTTTGTGTGGTGCCATATTCTTTCCATTTTTTAAATAATGGATTTAATGGTGCTCTGTGGGATATTAAAAGTTTCTGATATTTTTTTATAACCCAACCCTGATCTGTACTTCTCCACAACTTTGTCCCTGACCTGTTTGGAGAGCTCCTTGGTCTTCATGGTGCCACTTGCTTGGTGGTGTCCCTTGCTTAGTGGTGTTGCAGACTCTGGGGCCTTTCAGAACAGGTGTATATATACTGGGATCATGTGACACATAGATTGCACACATGTGACACTTAGATTGCACACAGGTGGACTTTATTTAACTAATTATGTGACTTCTGAAGGTAATTGGTTGCACCAGATCTTATTTAGGGGCTTCATAGCAAAGGGGGTGAATACATATGCACGCACCACTTTTCCGTTATTTATTTTGTATAATTATTTGAAACAAGTTATATTTTTCATTTCACTTCACCAATTTTGACTATTTTGTGTATGTCCATTACATGAAATCCAAATAAAAATCCATTTAAATTACAGGTTGTAATGCAACAAAATAGGAAAAACGCCAAGCGGGATGAATACTTTTGCAAGGCACTGTATGTTATTTTGGTGTGAAGAATCACAAAGCACCAGACATTGAAAAAGGCAGCGGAGAGGAGTCAATTGAAAACAAACGCATAACCTTCTCTATCCCCCCCGAGCTCCCATTCTTCCCAGGTAATGGGATTTAGAGGGACACAACCCCAAATGGAGAGATGTAAGCAAAGCGTACATTTTATCAAGCTCTCCCACCCACTCCTCAGCTATCAACCCCTCCCCTCCCTTCAGCCCTCATCCCTCCTCCTAGCTCTTTGTCCTTTGTCATTACTCTTATCAGCTACACTCTATCATTCTTTTTATAGAGAAGTGGCGCTGAAACCGCTTGCAAATGTAAGTATGTCTTTGTTAGTGTCTCGGCGGTGGGCTGGTGTCCCGCCCCTCTGCTCCCTCCTGGGTGTGCTCTGATTGACGGCCCTCTGCTGGGTGAGTGACAGGCCGCGTTCGTTAGGCTGTGACGGACAGGCCGACAGCTGGGGGACTGAATGACTGCTGGTGGTGCTGGTTGGGCCCTCTGCTGCGTTGGACGTTGGGGGCCGCTGGCCCGCTCCACCACCACCACCCCTGTGGGGCCTCACTGGGCCCCTAGGACCCCCAGCCTGCCCAGCAAGTGTAGTTCCCCGGCAGGCTTGCTGTGCCAGAGCAGCTCGTTAGCTGTTAACTGGCAACACCCTGCCTCTCCTCCTCAGTGACAGGGGGACTCAGCATGGTATGTTGGTCCAGGTGGCCCCCAACACGCATATGCAAGTCAACGTGCCATGCTGCCCAGGAGAGTACATCATTAATTCATTAAAGTCAGAAATAGCGCTGTAGACACCGAATGACATATTATAGAAAAAGTGGTTATAGTGAACTCCCACAGACAAACATACAGTATCTTCTACTATATTACAGTAGCTACAGAGGAACGTGTGACATGGGAGTACTTTTTTCTACATGCTGCAAGATTTCCAATTATTATTATCGGAAAGTAACCATCCACAATATGAGAGGGATTAAACGTATTGCTAATGCACACTCTTTGTGCCAAATAATTCCACTGCTACTCTTGGTGCATGGCATGACATGAAACGCAACATAAAAACAAGTGTTTCATCGTTAATAATCATACAATATGTTGATCAAAATAATGAATGCTTGTTTTGTAAAATAGTTAGGAAATGGATGTGAGGGAAGAAAGCAACTCCTAAAATGTAACAAACTGAAGTTCATGCAGCTACAGTCTTATTTAACTATAGCCTCACAGCTAGCATCTAATGAGCTTGTAGGGCATCTGTGACGTGACATCTACATTTCGGTCTATTTGTAAAACAAAGGCTACAAGGAAGCCGGGGGCACTGGTTCTCTGTGTTTCAACCCCCTGATAACAATGGAAAGCAGGCGCTGGTGGGAGGCAGTGCTCTCATGGAAATGAGCAACCAAACCAACAATGTGCCTCCTAATCTCTTCAGAGAGGGGAATCAGTTACACAGCAGTATGCACCTCTCAATGCTTTTCATTAGAACCAGCGTGCTATTGAAACACTAACCCCCACCTACTCCCCGCTACTCCCCCCCCATCCCAACCCCCCTAATGTGTAGCCACAGGCTCTCCTCACACATGGCCCAGATACAAGGTAGCCCCTCCAACAGTAAGGGGGGGGGGATCTAGACAGTGGGACAGGGGGTTAGTATGGGGGGGCTAGGCCTCAAAGCATGGGATTAGAGTTAATGTGCCCTCCCTGGGTTATAATCTCTTCAGAGGGGGACTTTGTTTGAGGGCTTGAGGGCAGTAAAATAAGTATCTATTACAGAAACTCCCCTCTTATCCCACACTCCAACAACCTCCCGCTCTTCAAAAATGAAGCACAAAAACACTTGCCTCTGTTCCCCCATGTCTTCTGAAATCCAAAAGCAAGTGCTGCTGCCCTTTTCAGCTAATCTGGAGTTAAGGGCTAAAGCCTTATGGAGAGTAACCCCGACCCATATTTACTCCATCTGTAGCCTGCAAAGTGAGGAGGTTGATGTAGATCAAAGGAGGCTTAGAAAATAAGTGAGGATATTACCATGAAAAGAAGAAAAAATAGCATTCTCACAAGTTTCATTTCTTGATGTTGGGGAGTCATAATGTGAGAGCTGAACTATGGGGTCCAAAGCTGAGGATTTAATGAAATGTAATCTTGTTAGTATACCCGTGTATAAAGAAAAATCTTGATATTATTATCCATCGACTAAATCTTAAGACCATCCCAACCACAGGAGGCTGCTGAGGCAGGATAGCTCATATTAATGGCCGTAACGTAGCCAATGGAATGGCATCAAACACATGGAAACCATGGGGGCGGCAGGTAGCTTAGTGGGTAAGAGCGTTGTGCCAGTAACCGAAAGGTCGCTGGTTCTAATCCCCGAGCTGACTAGGTGAAAAATCTGTCTGTGCCCTTAAGCAAGGCACTTAACCCTAATTGCTCCTGTAAGTCGCTCTGGATAAGAGCGTCTGCTAAATGACTAAAATGTAAAATGTAAATGTATGTGTTTGATGTATATGATACCATCCCACTGATTCTGCTCCAGCCATTACCACGAGCCCATCCTCCCCAATTAAGGTGCCACCAACCTCCTGTGATCCCAACAGCTGATATGTAGTGCCCATTTAACCAAGTTAACTTGGTAAAACTCCACCTACTGTGACTGTCATATAGATTAAAAAGTACACACAAAATTAGTAGCACAACATGGCAGTTTAATATCAAAATATCAAAAATATAAATAATGTGCAAAACAAAACAAGCTTGAACAGAGGCAGGTTCAAATTGAGGCAACACAGGCAAAGCCATGGCACATCAACTAACTTGTTTCACAATTGAATAAGGCACTTCATTATGAACTGACTATTCTTTGCCAGTACTCTGGTATTGTTTTGTCTTTCAATAGAAATACAATGTGAAATATAATGTGAAATACAGTATGGAAAATGTATGCACTCACTAACTGTAAGTCGCTCTGGATAAGAGCGTCTGCTAAATGACAAAAAAAATAAAAATACAGAGGGTGAACCAATACAAAACATCGTCCCTTGTTTAGTCCTTCAATAGAAATACAATGTGAAATACAATGTGAAATACAATGTGAATACTGAGAGTGAACCAATAGAAAACATTGTCCCTTGTTTAGTCCTTCAATAGAAATACAATGTGAATACTGAGAGTGAACCAATAGAAAACATTGTCCCTTATGACAATCAACCAACTGACAATGTAATAGTGCAATCATCAACATCTAAACATGGCACTTCAAATCTGGAATGTCAGAACGGCTTGGCAACGAGAAATTTGGGCGCTGTCTTAACACAGTGTGAGGAAAAGGCAAGTAAAATTCAAATACAAACTCAATTGAAAGAGCAAGAAAACAAATGCAGCATGCAAAATAGCTCCATATGTAATGTGGTCCTCTGTAGCTCAATTGGTAGAGCATGGCTTTTGTAACGCCAGGGTAGTGGGTTCGATCCCCGGGACCACCCATACGTAAAAATGTATGCACACATGACTGTAAGTCGCTTTGGATAAAAGCGTCTGCTAAATGGCATATTATTATTATTAATGTAACATTTTGTATCACTAGAATAAAATTCTACTTAAAAAATTGAATTAAATGATAATCAAATCATTTGGGGAGATTTCAACAATACAATCAAGGCGATAAACAACAAACTAAACATTTCAATAGTTACAGCTCCCTACACCATAAAAGCATACAGCATAAATACTATAAAAGCATACATTAAAATTCAAATAAACATACACTGACTGAACATGTTTTTGTGATGTCATTAAATGTGGGACATTTGGCTAGCTCCTTCCTTAGCGTGAGAATTTCCTGGGTCTGAATGCGGGGACCATGAGTTGATGGCGTGCTAGTGCCACACTCTCCTCTACAGGGGCTAGCTCCTCCGCTGAGCCCCACTTCTTCTTGGACTGGAACAACGAGACCAACTTCCTGTTCCTGCTGCAGTCTCTGGCCTGGGTCACATGGAACTCAGGGAACTCTGAACAAAATACAGACCACCATAGTTGTATAATACATTCTATGTAAGGCTGAAACCTAACTGTAAGGATGACCTTTTTGATCTTAGTAACAAAGCCACAGGCATTGGTATGACAATGTTATTCTGTATCAGACTGGGAAGGGAAATATTGGGGTCTTTGATCATTTCTGTGTTTAGACAACATTTCAGAGATGTCAGAGAGTCAAAAATAAAATAGTAAGAGACACTCACGTATCTCCTCTGGAGCTGTTCTGTCTTCCTCTGTAGGCTCCCTGATGTTCAGGTACTGGCAGGCAAGATGGCCGCTGTAGTCCCGCAGATTCTTCTTCGCACCTGAGAGGAAAGGAAGAACATGTCAAACAATGACTATAAGAAAAAATGTACCTAGAAAAAGGCAATCAATGGCAGAAAGATAATAGATGACCTGTTGCATTGATACCCTCCATTCCACACCCCAAAGACAAAAAGCATGTGGGTTAACTTTCCCTGTCATTTACCATATTTTCCAATGAGCAGCTCCAAAATGTGTCGATGGCCATGCAACGCTGCAATATGCAGGGGTGTATAGCCCTGCAAAACAAAAAGTGAAAGATTATGCAAATGTATTCCCCACCAAAGACATAGGGGTATAATGCAAATTGTATAACCGTGTTTTTTTCAAGAACAAAACAGGCTGTCCAATACAGCTATTTGAACATAACCTCTTACATCCACTGTATGCAGAGTTCAAGGTTCAACCCTGGAAAAATGTACAAGGCGTTTTAATACCTACCCCCTAGAGTTTCCCATGGCCCCAACACAGCCAATGAAAACATGAAAGGAGAGAATATACAAATTACCAGAGGTTATGGCAACACAACGTAATGACAAAATACATAATTGCTAGTAATTCTCAGAAAATTGCCATAGTTGTTTGAGTTTGGCACGGTAATACATTTACACAATTGACATGATTTATTAGTAGACACTGTGTGGATGTGTTTTACTATACTTGTGGGGACCAGAAGTCCCCACAAGAATAGTAAACGAACACAAATCTGACCAACTGGGGACATTTTGTTAGTCCCCACAAGGTAAAATGCTATTTCTAGGGGGTTTAGGGTTAAGGTTAGAATTAGTGTTAGGATTAGAATTAGGTTTAGGGTTAGGGTAGGAGTTAGGTTCAGGGTTAGGGAAAATAGGATTTTGGATGAGACTGAATTATGCATCCCCACAAGGTTAGTTATACAAGACTGTGTGTGTGTGTGTGCTGTAATGCATTTGCACAGCTGGATCTTCACAGGAACCATTACATCACCAACACCTCAGAACACAACTAACCTGGCTGCAACCCAGAGGCTCGTTGCCTTGGTAACCAATCTGCCTGGCCGGCCTCCAAATATACAAACAACATACCTATTACCTGATCACTTCCTGTGTATGATATACTGTACTGAAAGAGGAGGTACTCACATGCTGAAAGAAAATAAGAATAGGAGTATGACAATATTTTATAACATACCATTCCCAATAGCATAAGAAATTACAATACAGAACACAATACACCCCATATTCACAAAAGACAAGAGCATACTCACAGATCTAGTGTTAACGTCAGCCCCTGCGTTAGCCACCATGGTAGCCATGTCCTCTTTGCCATGTTTGGCTGCCCAGTGTAGAGCTGTCTGTGTCCAGAACAAGGAGGGGGAAATGTAAGCCATTCACAAAATACAGTGGTTTGAACCAAACTATTTCCCTATACAGAACAAAAGCCCTTTACTGCAACACCGACACAGGAGTTGCAATTTTTTGGTATACACAGATACTTGTATTGTATTGACATATACACAGACACTTGTATTGTATTGACATATACACAGATACTTGTATTGTATTGACATATACTTGTATTGTATTGACATACACACAGATACTTGTATTGTATTGATGTACACACAAATCAAATCGTATTGGTCGCATACACGTTTAGCAGATGTTATTGCGGGTGTAGCGAAACGCTTGTATTGTATTGACATATACACAGATACTTGTAGATACATTCCCAGTAGCGGTTAGTCAGTAGATAGTAATTGGCATAGCATCATTACTCCTCTACCAAGCGGTTTCAACACTGTGGATCAGATGAGAGCTCTGATAGGCTGGCTGAAGCAGTGGGCCAGCTGTGCACAGGAGGAGTGGCGAGATGGAGGGAGAGGTAGAGGGAGGGACGAAGGGATGGTTTCCTGCCATCTAACGGAGCCTAATTACAAAACAACACTGCACTGTGCCCACACCGGGGGGGAAGGGGGGGCAGCTGCCTGTCACAGGGAGGAAGATTGATGATGTTGGTGTGACCCTCAGAGGGGAGCGAGGGAGACCCACCCAGGAATCGCCCCACTGTCAGCACTCAGCCGTCAGAAAGACAAGGCTAGGGCCCTACCACGCTGTGTGCCCCCTGTGCACACACACACACACACACACACACACACACACACACACACACACACACAGGCACACACACACACACACACACACACACACACACACACAGGCATGCATGCATGCGCAAACACACGAACATACACGCTCTGATACAACATGCACACAATTGACCACAATTTCACCTGCTGAATCGCCCATAATTACACAGCCTGAAGTGCTCAGTGCTCAGAGACCCATTGACAAGAGTAACACAGTTTATCACAGCAGCGGCACGATGTCTGAAAGGTGGATGTGGTTTGCGTGGGACTTAATGAGTGTGTGTGTGTCTGTGTGCAGAGCTTGGCTGCAGATGTCAGTCTGTGAACCACAACATCTATGTTTCTCAGTCTGACTCCAGACGTGGAACAGGGAGAGCAGAGCGACGATGAGAAGTAGGTTATCTTTGTCAATCAAGACTAAGAACGGTCTTTACTTTACTATAGAGTTTGCTAGGCAGCTTGAGCTCACTATCTATGAACATCCTTGTGCTTGTTCAAGGCCTTAATGGCATTTCTTCATCTCCTGCATTGCACACTACCATACCACAAACTCTGTGAACTATATAACAACCTCGATATCAAAACTCGTGGCAGTTGGGGGGGGGGGATACAACTCTAGATGTCCAAAACCAGTCTGGGAGACAGATTGTGATAGATGAAGTCTGGCTCTGAGTATCTCCATCTCTGTTGTCTGCCCTGTCACACGCTGAAGACGGATTGGTCGGCTGGGCCGTTTGAGTGGCAGCTTGGCGGGTCTCCTAGTGGGCGGGAGTGACGGACGAGGTGGGACAGGATGTGGCGTCATCCTCTCCTCGTGCCTCTCGCCCGCTGGGGCCACCCCCCGCATTCCTGCCTGACCGATGACCCACTCAGTGTGTGTGTGTCATGCACCCAATGTGGGAGTAAGTAGTGTCCAAAGGGACAAGGGTTGGTCAATAGGAAACATCTGACACAATGACCTATGGCCTGTGACACTTTCCTGTTCATAGTAAGACCACTGAGGAGTGATGGGAGAATGATTTACTTACAAACTGCAGGGTGAGAGGAAGTACGTCACAGTCCGGCACGGCAGAAGGGGGGAGCACATGTCACGTGTAGAGGACGAAAAGGAGAGAGAGAGATCAGGAAGAAATAGGATATGTTAGATGGGGTTAACATACGTGGGTCTTTGAATTAGCAATTCCTTGTCAATGATAGTTGAGGAGGAGATTGTAGCTACACAATGCATCTGCTATTGGGAAAGTCAAAGTTTATTAGTGGTCTAAACTTTGTCTGATGGGGACAGAACTAGGCCACAAACGGCACCCAGTCCTCCTCAACTTCAAGCCCTAGGTAAAAGTGACTTCACCACCGAAGGGTGAAGGGGTGGGGGGGGCATCAAAGCCGCCCGAGGGAGATTTAGCTCCTTCCCGGGGACACGGCCAACACTGTTCTTCAATTAATCCCAGCCTGCTCTATAACTTTCAGATTATCTTTAAGTGGTTGAAGTCTTTGTGGAGCATTAAGAGTCTCTCTCTAATCCCCCCTCCCATCTCCCTGCACTTCAATGGCGACCCTGGTATCTTGTCTGGGTGGGAATGCTGATGGCAAGGGCTTAGGGATAGGTCTTAGAAGGTGGTCTGACACAGGACAGTGTGAGAACCCCAACACAGGGGAGGGACAACAAACATGAACCCAAATCTCTTGAGCGCACAGGGAGACCAATAAAGGGATTTGGGTTGTCAGGGGGGGGGGCTCCAGGAGCTAAAAAGCTATCTTCCATAATCCTTTTGATAGTTGCGCCTTTGAAATGCATGATCTTGATGTGTGTACATCACAGGGTTTTTAGAATACAATTAACGGAAAAATAACAATGGAATGTCGACTATTTGAAATGCATTTTTATAGGTTTTATAAAACAATAGGTATCATTTCAGAATATTATCAACTTTCAGTACAAGCAATCTAGAAACTTGTGGTCAAGAATTGAGATAAACAAGATATGAAGTAGACCCATACAACAATGGGATATCAATACTCAATTCACTTACCCCCTGACAGAGAGTCATGGTCAGTCAGGAACAACATAGCAGATTCCAAAAAGAAAAGAAAGAAAATAATCGGTCAATCCTAATATAAATGTCATACAAATATTCCTAATCAAAGTCGTGGAGAAAGTATACTCACTGAAACGAAGTCCTGGTTTAGTCAAATTAAGGAAATAGAAGGAGGGAAGGAGAGTAACTCAATTTAGTGTTTTGCTCTTATATAGAATTCAACATGTTAGAATACTTTTAGCTGTTGCATCCAATAAAACAAAGCTACCCATTTATCCACAAGATGTATATTGCAATGTTATGCAGACGTATGAAGGTGGTTCTTGGAAACCTTGGCCTTTGTGTCATTGTGTAGGGCAGAGGTGGAGGGGTAGAGGTTACCTTCTTGTTGGCCAGGGAGGGCTCCTGTTTTAGCAGCTGGGAGAGGTCAGAGAGACGGCCACAAGTAGCAGAGTAGATCCATTCCTTCTCCACAGGGTCCAGCTGTAGGACAGGGATTAGGACAGGGAGTGGATGAGCTAAGCAAATGGATAGTGTCCATAAAGTACACGTCTAGTATGTACAGTATATACAGTATTATTAATATTCATGTCTAGTATGTATATATTAGCATATATAAATGTGGAAACTCACGGCCACTGGGGTGGAGCGCATACTGCCCGTACACTTCTCTTCCTGCTCTTCCGACTCGGACTGAAAGTGGACGGACAATAAAGACATATTATATGAGTAATATCATGAGTATTATTGATCCAGCATGCTGAAGCAGCAGGGGCATCTCTCCCAACCGAGGCCTTATGTTGTTCCACATAGGAATGAAGAATGAATGTCCTAAGGCCCTAATAGACACACACACACACACACACACACACACACACACACACACACTAATCACTGTTTAGATCTTTATCACCTCAGACATCAAAAGGGAAGAAGTGATCCAACAAGTGTCAGACAGTCAGACAGGTAGGAGGGAGGCAAACAGAGCCACAGAGCAAACAGAGGTTTCACACCAAGGGGTCAATGTGATAATAACTGTGAACTCCACTGTTAACCAATAGACATGTCTGTCTGTGGACCTCCTCATGGGTCAGAGACCATCCCACCATCTGTGTTCCCCTCTGTTTTAAACGGGGTCAGAAATGCCCCGAAAATAAAGCACACCTTTCTCTGAATGCACAAGTGTCATTCTGGCTGATTAATGTGGGGAGAAAATGGCAGTTTTCTATATGTTTTGTTTTGTCAAGCACTTGATTGCTAATTGTTCTGAGATCATACAGGGACATGGTGTAAAAACACACAAGTCTTTCATGTCGCTGTCATACATGCCTTGTTTAACACGAAAAGTGGAGGCCTATTTATCCACTGGCACATGTCCACTTTTTCTCTGCTGGAAATAAAAATAACAGGGGAAGAAAAATATTGTTGGGCAGTTGAGTTTAATTTTGTAGAGTGGATCTCTCAGCACTTTCCTCCTCTCTGTCATGTAATTCCATTCTCTTTGTCTAGAGGTTTAGAACCATGGATTAGAACACAGTTTAGAACAGAGTGATACTTTAGCTTCCCAAGCTCTTCAAGAGCAAATGAGAGTAGCACAGGCAAGGTAAAAACTGTTTTTTTTTGCGCAAAGAGGAAGTTCAACCAGCCACAGTGTAACAGCTTTTTTAAACAGGAGAATATTTTCTAACTGGTTCTTTCCACAGCATCAATGATTTTTTGATACAACTCCCACTTTCTAACGTTGTCACATAAGAGAGGTGGTGAGATTCAGGAGGCCCTTTTACATTATTGTGATCTATGTAGTTATAGAGATCTGGTTACATCCCCTTCAACAAGATAGGAACACAAGCTAGGTTTCCATCCAATTGGCGACAGATTTGAATGTGAACATAGTAAAATCTGCATAAAAACAATATGCACCACAGGTGTGTTTCCATCAAACTGACCTGTTGCTGATAAAAGGCTGTGTGTGATAACATAGTGCACATAAAAAGGACTTTTGCAGTTAAGTTCCCATGTACCTAATAAAAATAAAATGGGTTTCCATCGCATTTTCAATTCTACTGATGGTTTTGTCACAAAAAAAATTGCGATAAATAGCAATCGTGCCCAATCTGGCATTGGCCCATACTCTTTAGACAAGAGTTTGCTGATAAAGTGGACATATGATGAGATATGGATAAGAGCAAAATCATTGTATTTGATAAATTGGCAGCCAAACACTGATCATCATGTCACCAGCATTAAAATAATAGCCTACCCTCGATATTTAGCCTATATTGGACATTTGCATTATCACTGATCATTTAACCACCATGTGAAGTTAATCATAACTTATTTAATCTGCCTATAAACTTTTCATGCTTTTCCACGTTGTGGTGGTAGGCTTACAGCGCAACATATCTCTTGACTCCAAGTTTACTTCGATATGATGGTTATTATATTAACTATATTATATTATATTATTATAATATTAATATTATATATTATTATTATTATTATTATGTGTAGGGTCCTAAAAAATCTTATATTTTTTTCCCAAATTCCGTTTTCTCCGTTTAGTTTTTCCAGGTTTCCTTTTTTCTTCAGGTTTTTCACTTACAAAATCACACTTTTTATTTATTTATAGAAAAACAACAAAATTGGATGTTCTAAATCCACAACAATGCTTGAAAACCACATCAGGAGACTACTTTTGAGGTCTAGAACAAATCTAAGACATTTTCATTTTTGGGTGTAGATACCCTTTAATTCAACACAGCACCAGCAAGAGACTTGTTTGGTTAGCAGAGTTTCTGTAGCACACATGTAATTGTAGAGTTTGCTAAACAAATCACCACTGGATTGCAGGGCCAGGACGATACCAGTATCGCAATATTGTTTTACAATGCAAAAATGAAAACACAAAGCAGATCTAATTCTTTGGTCCTTTAAAAACCTACTCTATGTAAAATATTGTGTGCTATAGCTTGGAAAATAAATAAAATGTGACTCTGGATGACAACACAATGATGTTTGTTTCCAACATTAGTGCTCTTTTCCTAAAGAAGTCAAATCTGTTTCCTTGCTACGATACTAACGAGTATCGTGATACTGGTATCATCCCTCCACTACTGGATTGATGCAAATAATCATGATATCATGACACCAGGTAGGCATACTTTGTACAGTGAGTATTGGGACAATGACACATTTGTGGTTGTTTTGGCTCCATACTCCAGCACTTTGAATTTGAATTTGAAATGATACAATGACTATGAGGTTAAAGTGCAGACTGTCAGCTTTAATTTGAGTGTATTTTTATCCATATCGGGTGAACCCCTTTTAGGGGACCAAAAGTATTGGGACAAATTCACTTATGTGTATTAACGTAGTAAAAAGTTACGTATTTGGTCTTATTTTCATTGCACGCAATAACTACATCAATAGTTGGATGCATTTGCTGTTTGTCTTGGTTGTGTTTCAGATTATTCTGTGTCAAACAGAAATGAATGGTAAAAAATGAATGTCATTTTGGAGTCACATTTATTGTAAATAAGAATAGAATATGATTATAAATACTTCTACATTAATGTGGATGCTATCCTGATTACGGATAATCCTGAATGAATCGTGAATAATGATGAGTGAGAAAGTTACAGACGCACAAATATCATACCCCCAAGACATGCTAACCTCTCACCATTACAATAACAGGGGAGGTTAGCATTTCTGGGGGGGTAAGATATTTGTCCGACACCATCATTATTCACATTATTAACTACTTTAGTACACATAAGTGAATTTGCCCCAATACTTTTGGTCATAGTCATTGTGTCATTTCAAATCCAAATTGGTGAAGTGAAATGAAAAAAATTAACTTGCTTCAAAAAATTCTAAAAAATAAATAACAGAAAAGTGGTGCGTGCATATGTATTCACCCCCTTTGCTATGGAAGCCCCTAAATAAGATCTGGTGCAACCAATTATCTTCAGAAGTTACATAATTAGTTAAATAAAGTCCACCTGTGTGCAATCTAAGTGTCACATGATCTGTCACATGATCTCAGTATATATACACACCTGTTCTGAAAGGCCCCAGAGTCTGCAACACCACTAAGCAAGGGGCACCACCAAGCAAGCGGCACCATGAAGACCAAGGAGCTCTCCAAATAGGTCAGGGACAAAGTTGTGGAGAAGTACATATCAGGGTTGGGTTATAAAAATAAATCATAAACTTTGAACATCCCACGGAGCACCATTAAATCCATTATTAAATTTTTTAAAGAATATGGCACGACAACAAACCTGCCAAGAGAGGGCCGCCCACCAAAACTCACGGACCAGGCAAGGAGGGCATTAATCAGAGCCAACAAAGAGACCAGAGATAACCCTGAAGGAGCTGCAAAGCTCCACAGCGGAGATAGGAGTACCTGTCCATAGGACCACCTTAAGCCGTACATTCCATAGAGCTGGGCTTTACGGAAGAGTGGCCAGAAAAAAAGCCATTGCTTAAAGAAAAAAATAAGCAAACACGTTTGGTGTTCGCCAAAAGGCACGTGGCAGACTCCCCAAACATATGGAAGAAGGTACTCTGGTCAGATGAGACTAAAATTTAGCTTTTTGGCCATCAAGGAAAACGCTATGTCTGACTTAAAGATTGCTGTACACCAGCAGAACCCATCCAACTTGAAGAAGCTGTAGCAGTTTTGCCTTGAAGAATGGGCAAAAATCCCAGTGGCTAGATGTGCCAAGCTTATAGAGACATACCCCAAGAGACTTGCAGCTGTAATTGCTGCAAAAGGTGGCTCTACAAAGTATTTACTTTGGGGGGTGGGGGGGGGGGGAATAGTTATGCACCCTCAAGTTCAGTTTTTTTGTCTTATTTCTTGTTTGTTTCACAAGATAAAATATTTTGCATCTTCAAAGTGGTAGGCATGTTGTGTAAATCAAATGATACAAACCCCCCAAAAATCAATTTTTATTCCAGGTTGTAAGGGAACAAAATAGGAAAAATGCCAAGGGGGGTGAATACTTTCGCAAGCCACTGTAATCTGATTGTGGTGCCATATTCACATACTCTAACATATTTAATCTGTCTATGGTTCAAAATCAAATCACATCCAATTTTATTGGTCGAATACACGTTTAGCAAATGTTATTGTGGGTGTAGCGAAATGCTTGTGTTCCTAGCTCCAACAGTGCAGCAATATCTAACAATACACACAAATATAAAAGTAAAAGAAAGGAATTAAGAAATATAGAAATATTAGGACGAGTCATATATATATACAGTACCAGTCAAAACCTACTCATTCAAGGGTTTTTCTTTATTTTTGCTATTTTTTATATTGTAGAATAATAGTGAAGACATCAAAACTATGAAATAACAAATATGGAATCATGTAGTAACCAAAAAAGTGTTAAACAAATCAAAATAGATTTGAGATTTGAGATTCTTCAAATAGCCACCCTTTGCCTTGACAGCATTGCACACTCTTGGCATTCTCTCAACCAGCTTCATAAGGTAGTCACCTGAAATCCATTTCAATTAACAGGTGTGCCTTCTTAAAAGTTAATTTGTGGATTTTCTTTCCTTCTTAATGTGTTTGCGCCAATCAGTTGTGTGGTGACAAGGTAGGGGTGGTATACAGAAGATAGCCCTATTTGGTAAAAGACCAAGTCCATATGATGGCAAGAACAGCTCAAATAAGCAACGAGAAACACCAGTCCATCATTACTTTAGGACATGAAGGTCAGTCAATACGGAACATTTCAGTCGCAGTCGAAAAAGTGCAGTCGCAAAAACCATCAAGTGCTATGATGAAACTGGCTCTCATGAGGACCGCCACAGGAATGGAAGACCCAGAGTTACCTCTGCTGCAGAGGATAAGTTCATTAGTGTTACCAGCCTCAGAAATTGCAGCCCAAATAAATGCTTCACAGAGTTCAAGTAACAGACATCTCAACATCAACTGTTCAGAGGAGACTGTGTGAATCAGGCCTTCATGGTTGAATTGCTGAATGAAACCATTACTAAAAGGACACCAATAATAACAAGACTTGCTTGGGCCAAGAAACACGAGCAATGGACATTAGACCGGTGGAAATGTGTTATTTGGTCTGGAGTCCAAATTTGAGATTTTTGGTTCCAACCGCTGTGTCTTTCTGAGATGCAGTGTGGGTGAACCGATGATCTCCGCATGTGTATTTCCCACCGTAAAGCAAGGAGGAGGAGTTGTTATGGTGTGGGGGTACCTTGCTGGTGACACTGTCTGTGATTTATTTAGAATTCAAGGCACACTTAACCAGCATGGCTACCACAGCATTCTGCAGCGATATGCCATCCCATCTGGTTTGGGCTTAGTGGGACTATCATTTGTTTTTCAACAGGACAATGACCCAACACACCTTCAGGCTGTGTAAGGGCTATTTTACCAAGAAGGAGAGTGATGGAGGGCTGCATCAGATGACCTGGTCTCCACAATCCCCTGACCTCAACCCAATTGAGATGGTTTGGGATGAGTCGGACCGCAGAGTGAAGGAAAAGCAGCCAACAAGTGTTCAGAATATGTGGGAACTCCTTCAAGACTGTTGGAAAAGCATTCCAGGTGAAGCTGGTTGAGAGAATGCCAAGAGTGTGCAAAGCTGTCATCAAGGCAAAGGGTGGCTATTTGAAGAATCTCAAATATAAAATATATTTCGATTTATTTAACACTTTTTTGGTTACTACATGATTCCATGTGTTATTTCATCATTTTGATGTCTTCACTATTATTGTACAATGTAGAAAATAGTACAACTGGAATGAGTTGGTGTGTCCAAACTTTTACTGGTACTGTATATATATACACAGTATGTGATGGGATATATAGAAATTATGGACAGTATATGGATAGAATATATAGTATATCTGAAGAATATGTAGGATAGAATAGTCTATGTACAGCAATAGCTAAATAGGATGGCCTAGAGTAGAATACAGTATATACATATGAAGTGGGTAAAACAGTATGTAAACATTATTAAAATGACCAGTGTTCCATTATTAAAGTGACCAGTGTTCCATGTCTATGTACATAGGGCAGCAGCCTCTAAGGTGCAGGGATGAGTAACTGGGTGGTAGCCGGCTAGTGACAGTGACTAAGTTCAGGGCAGGGTACTGGGTGGAGGCCGGCTAGTGATGTCTATTTAAAAGTCTGATGGCCTTGAGATAGAAGCTGTTTTTCAGTCTCTCGGTCCCAGCTTTGATACACCTGTACTGACCTCGCCTTCTGGATGATAGCAGGGTGAACAGGCCCTGGCTCGGGTGGCCGAGGTCCTTGATGATCTTCTTGGCCTTCTTTTGACACCGGGTGCTGTAGATGTCCTGAAGGGCAGGCAGTGTGCTCCTGGTGATGATGCATTGGGCTGAACACACCACCCTCTGGAGAGCCCTGTGGTTGCGGACGGTGCAGTTGCCATACCAGGCGGTGATACAGCCTGACAGGATGCTCTCAATGGTGCATCTGTAAAAGTTTGTGAGGGTCTTAGGGGCCAAGCTGAATTTCTTCAGCCTCCTGAGGTTGAAGAAGCGCTGTTGCACCTTCTTCACCACACTGTCTGTGTGGTTGGACAGTTTCAGATTGTCAGTGATGTGTACGCCAAGGAACTTTAAGCTTTTCACCTTCTCGACTGCGGTCCCGTTGATGCGGATGGGGGCGTGCTAATGAGTTCAAACATGTTGTTGCATCTTGCTTTACATAATGACAGAACAGAGGGCAGCATTCAAATGCTAATGGTTGCCCCCCTCATATTGTTTCCCACTCTCAAACATCCATGGTTTGTTTCAAATCCAGGTAATTTAGCTACTGCCATCTGGTGGAGTTTTGCAGCAACAGTTCCTGCTATGACTCACTATTTTGTTCAGAGAGAAATTAAATAATAAGTATTACTAGGGAGGCAGAGGCAAAGGCCTGTAAACGTCCAACACGGTGAAATGTGACGAAGTAACATTAGGGGAAAGTTTATTCTCAAATTTATTTTCCTTGTTCCTCGTGTCCTCTGGCTCCAGGACCTGCTCTCCTTGCCTCCCTCTGGTGTTTTGAGAGGGAGGTGAGAAGAGCATCGGATGATATCTTCTCCTCAGAACTTCTCCTCCAGCACTCCCTGTGCTTCCCTCCGATTTTTTTTGAAAATAAGGCGAGGAGAGAGGACGCAAGGAATTGAGCAAAATACTTTTGAGATTTACTCCTGCTGTTACTAGCCTCTCACCTTTGACCCGGAGTCCCTGTCTGGCTCATCCTCTCCGTTGCTGTGCGCTAGGGGTTTCTCCGAAACGGACGGTGAGGGGGTCCTCTCTGTGTCCTGGTCCTGGAGGCACAGAGACAACATACAGAATGAGGCTGTGATGAGGCAGCCTTAGTCTGGCCTCATCAACATTTTAAAAAGGTCTTTAAAATGCATTTCATAAAGTGAATATCATCTAAAATGCTTAAACGTATATACAGTGGGGAGAACAAGTATTTGATACAATGCCAATTTTTCAGGTTTTCCTACTTACAAAGCATGTAGAGGTCTGTAATTTTTATCATAGGTACACTTCAACTGTGAGAGACGGAATCTAAAACAAAAATCCAGAAAATCACATTGTATGATTTTAAAGTAATTAATTTGCATTTTATTGCATGACATAAGTATTTGATCACCTACCAACCAGTAAGAATTCCGGCTCTCACAGACCTGTTCGTTTTTCTTTAAGAATCCCTCCTGTTCTCCACTCATTACCTGTATTAACTGCACCTGTTTGAACTCGTTACCCATATAAAAGACACCTGTCCACACACTCAATCAAACAGACTCCAACCTCTCCACAACGGCCAAGACCAGAGAGCTGTGTAAGGACATCAGGGATAAAATTGTAGACCTGCACAAGGCTGGGATGGGCTACAGGACAATAGGCAAGCAGCTTGGTGAGAAGGCAACAACTGTTGGCGCAATTATTAGAAAATGGAAGAAGTTCAAGATGACGGTCAATCACCCTCGGTCTGGGTATCCATGCAAGATCTCACCTTGTGGGGCATCAATGATCATGAGTAAGGTGAGGGATCAGCCCAGAACTACACGGCAGGACCTGGTCAATGACCTGAAGAGAGCTGGGACCACAGTCTCAAAGAAAACCATTAGTAACACACTACGCCGTCATGGATTAAAATCCTGCAGCGCACGCAAGGTCCCCCTGCTCAAGCCAGCGCATGTCCAGGCCCGTCTGAAGTTTGCCAATGACCATCTGGATGATCCAGAGGAGGAATGGGAGAAGGTCATGTGGTCTGATGAGACAAAAATAGAGCTTTTTGGTCTAAACTCCACTCGCCGTGTTTGGAGGAAGAAGAAGGATGAGTACAACCCCAAGAACACCATCCCAACCGTGAATCATGGAGGTGGAAACATAATTCTTTGGGAATGCTTTTCTGCAAAGGGGATAGGATGACTGCGCCGTATTGAGGGGAGGATGGATGGGGCCATGTATCGCGAGAGCCAACAACCTCCTTCTGTCAGTAAGAGCATTGAAGATGGGTCGTGGCTGGTCTTCCAGCATGACAACGACCCGAAACACAGCCAGGGCAACTAAGGAGTGGCTCCGTAAGAAGCATCTCAAGGTCCTGGAGTGGCCTAGCCAGTCTCCAGACCTGAACCCAATAGAAAATCTTTGGAGGGAGCTGAAAGTCAGTATTGCCCAGTGACAGCCCCGAAACCTGAAGGATCTGGAGAAGGTCTGTATGGAGGTGTGGGCCAAAATCCCTGCTGCAGTGTGTGCAAACCTGGTCAAGACCTACAGGAAACGTATGATCTCTGTAATTGCAAACAAAGGTTTCTGTACCAAATATTAAGTTCTGCTTTTCTGATGTATCAAATACTTATGTCATGCAATAAAATGCCCATTAATTACTTAAAAATCATACAATGTGATTTTCTGGATTTTTGTTTTAGATTCCGTCTCTCACAGTTGAAGTGTACCTATGATAAAAATGACAGACCTCTACATGCTTTGTAAGTAGGACAACCTGCAAAATCTGCAGTGTATCAAATACTTGTTCTCCCCACTGTACATGTGTGGTTCAGATAAAGTGCATGGCTGAATCCCAAATCACCCCCCTCCCCCCTCCATTTGCGCATTCACACACACCGCCATATGCACAAGTGTCCCAACGCTGAGGGAGTGAAAATTATCGAAGGTGTAGGAGCTAGTTAGACCCTCTAAGCTAGCAAGGTTGCAGGCTCCACAGCCAAGTGCTATCCCAACACGAAACGCGATATGTTTGGAGTTTGCGCAATTTAATACAAAAGAATGGAGAGGCGTGCCTAATTATATGCCGGGGCATATGTTCATCTGATTTCTAGGCTTGACACATTTACCAAATGAAATACCTTCTAAATTAAATGTTTAACTGTTACGGAGGTTTATATCTTTGTTAATTAGAATTTCATGCTAGTTTTATTATTTAAATGTGGAACATGAATTGCATCATTCAAGTCACCAGTGTGTCCCGAAGTTGATGGGTTTATTGATCCTCTCGTCACTCGATGGAAGTCACCCTCGGAGTTGTCATCGTCAGCAACACGTGACAACGGATAGGCCCTCCGAGCGAGTTAGTAGAGGCGAGGGGGTGGTTTGGAATTCACCGCACCAATCTATTGCCATGCATAGGTGTGCCTTACGTTAATTGTTTGCTACCGAGTTGATTGCTCAGGTTGAAGCCAGGTATGGCGACTTCAGATAAATAGCGTGCAGCTCAGTCTCTCTGAGTAGTAGCTCTAATCATATTCTTTTTGATGCAGCTCTGTCTTTTAAACTAATGTCCACTTGACTAAATATGGTAATTTACACTGCTGAATGCAATTAACTTAAATCATGTTTTCCATAGTATTACCTGGTCTAATTAACAAAGTAAAGTTCAGCTAATTAAATGTACATTCTCATTGGTTAATCATTATGGGCGGGGTTTAGGAGCAAAGGTAGAAAGGCTGTCCTTTTCTCTCAGCTCAGGGTTGAACACCATTTTACAACGTGCTCCATAGCAGTTTGTTTGTGGCGTCCTGTATGTACAGGCAGTTGATGTTAGCTGTCCTGGTTGATTCTCCTAGTAAGGGGTAGAGTTAGGCTTTGTTTAGCACTGGAAAAGGGGTTCTCCCTAGTTATGCTGTTTATCATTTAAGCCTAGTCTTAAAACTCTGGGTCTGCTATTCAACAGAGGCCATCTCTCCATTCTACATTTAATAAGAGCATTCTTGATTTACACCTGCTTACTGTAACTCTGCCAAAGTTCTAGGTAGTATACTATATGTGCACATCATGCCAAAACCACTTGTGTTGTACTGTTGCCCTTCTCCTGTGTGAGTAGAAATATTGTTTGCACATACTTATGTGGACACTGACACTATCGGCTTAGCATTTATTCTCTTTAAAAGTGATGCTTGTACACACACTAAGGCTGCGTGTCACGCTCTGACTCTAGGACTCGTATTTGTTGAGTCAGGGTGTGTATTTTCTGTGTGGTGTTGTGCTATGTTTATTGTCTATGGTTAGATCTAGTATGTATTGATCTATGTTGGCCAGGGTGGTTCCCAATCAGAGGCAGCTGTAGCTCGTTGTCTCTGATTGGGGACTATACTTAGGTAGCCTGTTGGCACTAGTGTGTTGTGGGATCTTGTTCCGTGTAAGGTATGTTGTGTGTATGCTACCTTGGACTTCACGTTTCGTTTGTTGTTTTGTCGTGGTGTTTAGTCATAAATAAACATGTATGCTTATCACGCTGCGCCTTGGTTCGACCAGTCTTTAAACGATCGTGACAGAAGATCCCAACCAAATGAGGACCAAGCAGCGTGTCCAGGAGCAGACAGCATGGACCCGGGAGGAGATCCTGGACGGGAAGGGATCCTGGACTTGGGAGGAGATTCAGGCCGGAATGGATCGCCGTCCTTGGGAGGAGACAGTGGAGGCGCGCTATAGAGGAGCAGCGGCAACGCAGAAGGTGCCGGCCGAGGAGGAAGCCCGAGAGACAATTTTTTGGGGGGGCTAAAAGGGTGGTTGGCGTAGCCTAGTGTTAGAGCAGAGCCAACTCCCCGTACTCATGTTAGGAAGCGTGTGACTGGGCAGGCTCCGTGTTATGCGGAGCTAAGTACTGTGCCGCGAGTGTTCCGGCACAGTCCTGTACGTCCTGTGCTAGCACCACGCACGTGTCGTGCGAAGATGGGCATTCAGCCAGGACAGGGTGTGCCGGCTCAACGCTCGTGGTCTCCAGTACGCCTCCTCGGTCCCGTATATCCTGCACCGGTGCTACGTACTGTATCGCCAGTACGCGTGCACAGCCCCGTACGTCCTGTGCTAATGCCTCACACATATTGTGTGGAAGTAGGCATCCAGCCAGGACGGGTTGTGTCAGCTCTCCGCTCCAGACCTCCAGTCCGCCTCCACAGTCCGGCCCGGCCCGTTCCTGCTCCCCGCACCAAGCCAGTGGTGCGTGTTCCCAGTCCGGCCCGGCCCGTTCCTGCTCCTCTCACCAAGCCAGTGGTGCGCGTCTCCAGCCCGGTCCCGCCTGTTCCTGTCCCTCGCACCAAGCCAGTGGTGCGCGTCTCCAGCCCGGTCCGGCCTGTTCCTGATCCTCGCACCAAGCCAGTGGTGCGCGTCGCCAGCCCGGTCCGGCCTGTTCCTGCCTCTCGCACCAAGCCAGTGGTGCGCATCGCCAGCCCGGTCCGGCCTGTTCCTGTCCCTCGCACCAAGCCAGTGGTTCGCGTCGCCAGCCCGGTCTGTTCCTGCTCCCCGCAACAGGCCAGTGGTGTGCGTCGCCAGTCCGGTACGTCCCGTTCCTGCTCCCTCGCATCAAGCCAGTGGTGCGTGTGTACAGTACGGCACAGCCCGTGCCTGTCCCACCGGTGACTGGTCCGGCACCGGTTAGCTGCTCCACTCCGGAGCCAGAGCAATCCGCTCCACCGGGGTCGAGTCCAGCTCCGGTCAGCGGATCCACTCCGGAGCCAGAGTAGTCCGGCCACACCAGGGTCCAGACAGGACTTGGTACGTCGTGGGAGGAAGGAGAGGGGAAGCAGCGCGCCGAGGTCCAGACCAGACCAGGGGCGCAACAGGGAGGTGGAGAGTAAGTGGTGGTCACGCCCGGAGCCGGATCCGGGGGGGGGGGGGGGGGGGGGGGGGGGGGGTACTGTCACGCCCTGACTCTAGGACTCGTATTTGTTGAGTCAGGGTGTGTATTTTCTGTGTCGTGTTGTGCTATGTTTATTGTCTATGCTTATCACGCTGCGCCTTGGTTCGACCAGTCTTTAAACGATCGTGACACTGCGTTTAGACAGGAAGCCCAATTCTGATATTTTTTTGACTAATTTGTATTTTGACCAATCACCTCAGATCTTTTAACATCAGATATTTTTCAGAACTGATCTGATTGACCAAAATACCAATGAGAAAAAAGAACAAAATTGGGCAAACTGAACAGCTGGGTTTTACTTTGGTCAAATATCATTGTGCAATTAACCCTAAAATGTATTAGGAAATACAATAAGAATTTCACAGCTCAAACCAAAAATGGGAATGACAACCAGAATTAGGTTGTTAACAGCTACACCCTTTGAGTAAAGATATGGTAACTGGCACAAGCCGTTTGTTTGACTTTTTCCATAAAGTCCATAAAATGACAGATAATTTCAAAGTCTTGCTTTCAATCCATGCTTCTTCCTCTCTAATGCTATGCTATTTGTGTGAGTTATTTTCAGCTTTATAACATTATGTTGATAGGTTGCTATCAATGCATCTCATCCCTCTTTTTTTGTGGGAAACAAAAACAAAAATGTCAAAACTGATCATGGTTGAAGCTCACCTCCTGCATGTGCTCCTGCTTGGGTGCCTCTTTGATGGTAATGCTGGGGCCTCTTCCACACCACGTCACCTGTGAAGGCTTCCTCGCCTCGGCCCTCTTGGCCGGGTCAGACTGGGGGTCTGGTTCCCCCTGGGTGTGGCGAGACGAGACCCCCGACACATCCCACTGGGCTGAGGCCGAGGGCCTGGCAGGGCTGGCCGCAGGACTGGCCTGTCTGTCTGTCCCAGGCTCTGTCTCACTGTCCTGCTTCTGCTGCCTGTACCTCTTCTTCAGAACCAGGTACTTCTCACCCTAATGGGGACAGACAGCAGGCAGGCAGGTGATGAGGAGGAGGGTATAGGACTACTGTATATGAAAGTTTAAGTAAATTCATTATGCAGAGTGGCATTTCTTAAACTAAGTTATATTGTATTGTGGAAATAATTCAAACTGTTTGAGATGTATTTGTAAGTTGCTCTTTCCAATTGCTATGTAACTGAATGGTAATAACAACATTGTGTAGGCCTACAACCGATAACAGAGGGCTGGGGCCCTAATCCTATTGATAAATAGCAAACTACATAGTAAACTGACACAGAAAATAAGTGCCCAATCCTTTTTTTTGTAACAATTGAACTACCATGGCTGAGTATAGATAGTGGGAAGGCAACTTAATTTGAGTGTGGAACATTAAAGAACTATGCACACTTATAACAGCACACTTTCTACAAATGGTCAGAAGTTCTCCTATTTCACTTACGTTCTCTGATTTCACAACAGCAATCCTGTCAATGATCTGTTTGAACTCCTCTCTGTATTTGGCTGGGGAAAAGAAACAATGTTGGCATCATAGAATTAGGAATTAGAATACTAGAATGGGCATGAACCTTCTTATGATGGTCCAAAAGTCAGCCATGTTGGTCAGGGAGTTGGTCAAAATCTTTATCTGCACTGTATATGTGTTAGCTAGCCAGCTAGTTTTAGAGGAATGGTTCCATAAATATTTCTAATTTACTGCCAATATGCCAACATTCCCTTCAAACAATGCCGTCAATTCACAGCCATATACACTGGCTCAAATCAGTTTATAATAGGACTTAGACAAGTTGTAAATGCAACAAGTACTGATATTGTATCATATAATAGCACTCACAGCTTTCCAAGAAAAACATAATATGAGACAGTTATGGTCTGTTTACATATATTTTAGAGGCTATTTATACAGAAAATGTGCATAAAACCTCTATAAAATGTATTTTTATTATATGACAAGATTTTAGGTTTACCATAATTCCATTACACAATTTCTGATACATCACATGCCTTACTTTTATTTTTTCTGCATAAGTAAAAGCAGGAAATGCATCACCTATGCCTCTACTGCCATTCATTCCAATTAGACTTTTGGATTTCTCCCTGGCCAAGATGGCTGCCATTTTCACCCTATTCTGGAAATTTGTGGTTTATAAAATATCCCCTCTAGTAATTTAATAGGATCTTTATGGTTGGCATATCAAGTTTCAAAAACATGATATCACTTTTTGTTTTCTCCCAAAACCCCAGACTTTCATTCTCTGAGGGGGTTAGAGAGAGAAAAGCCATATCATTTGGTCTAACAATACTCTATTACAAGTGTAGTAATAGCTTTCTTATGGAATTAACTCTAATGGGATTAAGTGTTATCTTACGATTGATTAGATCTATCTAGTTGACAAGTCATATCCTCTCTAAATCAGGCTATTGAATCACTCTGGCATTCCAAGACGTAGACCTATTGAGCCTGAAGAATGCATGATGGCTATTTGAGATTAAATGTGTGGCCTGTGAAGGCTTGTGGTTGATCTGCCCTCCCTGTTACTTCATCATCTTTCCTCTTCCTGCAGAGGTCTGCGTCCCAAATGACGCCCTATTCCCAATTTAGTGCACAACGTTTGACCAGGGCTCCGGTCAAAAGTAGTGCACTATATAAGGAATAGGGTGCAATTTGGGGCACACCACAGGGGCTCCAGGAGGGAGGGGCTTTTATTCTTCATTCCTCTGCAGGCCAAACACCGCTCGAGTTGCAAAACAATCATCTCAGAACAAAGTCACTGACTGGGAAAAGGGACAAAGAGGAAACCAGGGCTCTCTCTGCCAACATGAGGCAGGCAGAGATAAAAACAACTCTTCTCTCACATCATCTCCAAAAAGCCCAACCCCAAACTATCTGTCTATTTCTGCAGTATTAAAGCTTTCCTATGGGAACCCAAACAAACAGCAAATTGATGGCTATTATAATAGTTAACTGTTTAACTCCCTCTCCGACAGATACAACTGGGTTTGTGAAATTATTTTCAGACTAGATGCTGACAGACGTCAGTTTGTATAGGCTACTGTTTCTGAGAATGTATCTATCTATTACTACAGCCAACCAGACCACTTAACATAGGCCATCTTAGTTCAACAGACAATACTAATGGCTGAAGCCCTGTGTTTGAAAGAATGTTTAGGTATGTAAGAATATAGGTCTGAACAATTTAGTTATTTCCTTTTCCCTGACAGCAGCAGGGAGGGGAAAAAACATTTAGAATGAGACAGTTGCATCGCTCACAACTTCACATCCACAAAAACAGGAAATCCAGAGGAAGTGGCCACTTGCATCTCATCAACAAAATAATTCCTGGCTTAGTAGTACAGGGGCGACAGTTTACATATTCAGTCATTCATTAGCTAAAAGGTAGACAGATAGCCATAGCAACTGGATAGACAGAGCAATGTTAGCTATAACTTTCCCACGATGTCCCCATTTTATTCAAAAGTAATAAAAGAGCACTCCATTAGCGATCTAGTTGTGCTGGTGGTGCATGTGGCCTAAATTATTGCATTATGATTAAAACACTATTATCGTGCAATCATGCCCATTAAAGAAGGGAACACATGTCGTTATAAAGACTAAGTACTGGAACTATGTAATGGAAATCATTTTCATAATTGGACACTCCAGCCATGTCAGATGGCACAATATCAAAGCAGCTTTATTTGGAAACCTCTGTCTGTCAACAACTGTACCACTGAGATAGCATCTGGACAGTACAACTGGTACAACTGTAATACAAGGTCACATTGGATAATCATTCATTTATCTAGCGCCTGTCAAACATGTTAGGGCCTAGTTATTTTATCCAGTACCAAGCAGGGATAATGCCCTGGTGGATTGCATGGCAAATGATTGGTAAAGCATAACATCTTCTTATGTCACTGTAAGGAGACAATATTGTCATTTCAGTTACAATTTGGGGGAGGACATTGGAGAAAATGTATGTTGTACAAATAAAATTGTAACAGTCTCAGGTTTCAGGATAATGCCGAGTTGTGTTCATGATTCTGGGGCTGAATGCTATTAATTAAAAGGCAGCACCATAATCACACTATTTATCAGGGTGAATCATTGTTGTAATGGCACAACAGAATACCAAAGTCCAATGGTGAAAATAGTTGGTTGGTGTGGTCTGGGTCTGAGGCAAGGCTTGGGTAGCAGGCACTGAAGAATTCAAGCAGCTATAACTGGTCTCGGAAAGGAAATGACAGAATTCCTGGTGTAATTGTTCTGTTTATAGGACCTTTAATGTAAAGCAGATGTTTAGTTTAGGCTACCCGACTGGGAATTGGGAACAATGATAAACGAATGGGTTTGAGGGAAAACTATTCATGAAATAGAATTGTTGTAAAGGAATTCATTGTATATGATCATATGATGTGTCTGGACCACACAGAATTTATTATTGTGACAGCTACATACATGACAGATGTCGCACGGGACGAGAAACAGTGATCTCGCGTCAAGTCACCATCGCAAAGCAGTTGATGAGAGCAACTGTTGCCGTTTCGTTGAAATCATTTTGAAATTCTACATTTTCGATACAATGTACTGCTACTTACCACGCAGCTGCATGTCGTTATGACCAATGAAAGGCTTGTATGTTTTCATTAAATCCGCATTTTTTACTTTCCCTCCGGCTGAATAGAAATAATCCAGCAACGATTCTTCACTGACATCACACATTCTTGCTTTATGTTTGCTCGTTTTCTATGACAAAATCAGGCTTCTTTTAGAATTGGTATGGTCTTGCTGCTATGACATTGTGCGCTCCCTGGCTAATTTCAGAAGGAAAAAAAACGTGTGTAGCACATGTCCAACTTCACTCCACCCAAACCCAACCCTCTCACTGCGCCCCCTCCGTTTAACTCTTTCAGGGCTGAAAGAAAGCTGTGAAGGAAAAAAGCCTTTTGAAAGCATATGTTAAAGTATAAGAGATCTTTCTAACCAACTTGAACCATTGTGTTGAACCACAATTACAAACTCTTTAACACTGATGATAACATTCCCATAATAACCTAACCCATGCATCCCAGTGGATTACTTTGTGTACAAATCTTTTTTTTTCATTTTCCCTCAATTGTATTATTTGCATATCCAATACATACTGTAAAAACACCAGCAAATCAGCTCCAAGTGATTTTCATTTTGGAAATCTGTTCCAAAGTATTCCCATGTACAATAGAGAGATATATGTGATCATAGGGGGCACATAGGTGCCCTGTCAGATTTGACCTGTTGTTTCTCTGTAATACTACTAGCCACCTAGCAATTTTATGAAGTTGGCTTTAGCTAGCCCAGATAGGTTCCCAATCTCCCAACCTCATAACTAGCTACCAAGCCATTTCAGGCTGTCAATCAAATGTGAGTAGCTAGCTTGTCTAACTATCTTAGCTGGCATGCCTGCTGACAAGGTTGGTAGACTTTAGAAAAGCAATTTAAAAAAGCAATTAAATGTACTGAATAAGACTCACATTCCTTTGAATCTTTTACCCAGATTTTAGCAGAGATGCAGATATCTTAAAAAAAATAAAACACCAGTCAGGAGGATACAGACAGCTCAAGAGGTATGCTTAGATATGCAGAAAAATAGACCTTTATTTTTTTGGGACATAGAATTAAGCATAATTATTATGGCTCTAGATTGCAGGAAAAAGCTGTTTCAGGTGTTTGAAACTTCAGGACAGCGGCCTAGCCTCAGTCTGGACCGCCCCCCAGCCATCTACACATACTTTGTACCCTCCGATTTTTGTTGTGCATCACACCCCTGTATGTGATCATATACAAATGCAAGCAAGGTTTGAAATGATTATGTTTTAGTCAAATATTTTATATCTGTTTGTGCTTCTTGCGGCCAATTTGCAGTATACAAATTCTTTGTCCCGGCCCCCTGACCACCCGCTCAAGAAAAAATCGGCCCGCGGCTGAATCTAGTTGATGATCCCTGCATTAGTAGATGACGTCAGATGTTAGCATGCGGGAGAAATGGGAGCTCCGGAAGACAGATGAGTTTCCCACTAGTAATTACTAGTTGAAGGGCCGTTCAAGTGTATGTTGCCAACACCTAACGACCTCGTGAAGCGGACTGCTTGGCGTAACGGTTAAGGACGGTGTTAGCTTGATAGTCGCTAAACCCAGGTTCGATTGTCGGTGGGGATACCCCCCGAATCCGCTAATATCTTGTTTTTGTTTAGGCTATTTCTATACTGGCTTTTAGAGAGATGCGTTGTCTATGATTTGATGTAATATGAGTTTTTGGAGATTTAAAATAACACATTCTCCTTACAACTTTTGTCTCAGATTGTTCTCTATGCCTAATACTAGGCCTACCTTTGTTGCAACCTGGACTCAGAGCATTTCGTATTATTCTGTACGTAATACTATTTAGTATGATACTGTATGTTACCTTTGGTATGGTTACATAAGACAGATGGTTACTCAATGGTGGAAAAAGTACCCAATTGTCATATTAAAAGTAAAGATAACTTAATAGAAAATGACTAAAGTAAAAGTGAAAGTCACCCAGTAAATACTACTTGAGTAAAAGTATTTGGTTTGAAATATACTTAAGTATCAAAAGTACATTAAATTGCTAAAATATACACTATATGACCAAAAGTATGTGGACACTGTTTCTGTATGATATGTTGGATTAAGGAATAAAGACAGACACCAATGTTCAGTTCAATAGCCTTGTTAAGCCTTGTACAAATGCCTACGCCTGGAGTCTGGGGAACAGTCCAACTAGTCGATTACCTATCAACTAGACTCCGTAACATCATCCTTTTCAATAGAAAGTGCAAACATAACGGCATAACATTGCGTTCTTAACAGTCAAGTCATAACAATTGAAAAGCATGACATTTTCTTTTTACTTCAGCTGTCATCTTCCTTTTTTAAATTTTTATTTTTATTTTATTTTTTTGTAAATTTTTGAAATATTTTTTTTTTAAATTAACAGACAACAAGTTAAGTCTCTTGCTTACAGAGTAAGCCTGTCCGGTGGCTTGCACAGCCGACCCACCCGTGAGTAAGTATTGGCTCTGACAGGGGTAGGATTAGGGCCACGAGCTGGAGAGTTTGGTGGGGTAGAAGCTTCACCTTCAGTTGGCTCATGTCTCAATTCTGCACCCCTTACCCTTAGGCCTGGACTGTGATCCAGCTCATCTAAGTGAGTGTATGGCATGTTCTGGTTTGTCTGCTCTGCTACGCGCAGATCCACCCGATTGCGACGATAGAGGGAGCCACCAACATCCACCAGGTAAGAACGTGGTGCAACTCTCTGTAGGCATGTGCCCAGCCTCCAAAGTCCTGTGTGGTCTCCCGGCAGCGGTTTCATCCTTATAGTTTCACCCACCTCCAGCTCTGGTAGGTCTCGAGCAGTCCGGTCGTAGAAGCACTTAGCGAGCTGCTTTCTGTGACGCAGTTTGTCCGTGACGCCAACCATGACGCAGGGCTCAAGTAGCTTGTTAGCTACGGGGATAGTAGTCTTCAGACGTCTGGACAGAAGGCGTTGTGCTGGGCTGCTGTCCATGTTTTCGGTGGGTGTGTTCCTCCACTGTAAGATCGCTTTCCATGGGTCGTTGCTGTCGCGCAAGGCCCTGCTTAACAGGTTTTTTGCAATCTTGACAGCTGATTCTGCCTTGCCATTTGCTTTTGGGTGTCTTGGAGAGGAGGTCACGTGGTCAAACTCCCATTCTGAGGCGAAACGCTTGAACTGTGCAGTGAATTGTGGGCCATTGTCCGTGATTACCTTGTCAGGCTGACCTTGCCTTGCAAACTGCGCCTTGCAGCGCTTTATGACCGTCTCTGCGGACAAGTCAGGGAGCAGTTCAATTTCCCAAAAGTCAGAGTAATGATCAACGAGGAGAAGATAGTCCTTTTGTCTGTGGCTGAATAAGTCCATGCTGATGATTTGCCAGGCCCTTGTGGGCAGTTCGTGTGACATCATGGTTTCCTTTTGCTGTTCATGAGCGTACTCGTTGCATGTGGTACAGTTGCTGACAAAGTCTTTAATTTCTGCTTGCATGTTTGGCCAGTATAATGTTTCACGAGCCTGACGGTAGCATGCGTCACCTCCAACGTGACTGGAGTGTATGCGGGTAAGCATCTCTGGACGTAGTGATTTGGGAATAATGACCTTCTGACCTCTGAACAAGACGCCATTTTGCACACTGATCTCATCTCGAAAGGTCCAGTATTCTCTCACTGTGAAAGGTGTCTCCTCTTTCAGATATGGCCAACCTGCGAGAGCCATGGACTTCAGTGACTGTAGGTGTTCGTCCTTGTCAGTATGTTGCCTGATCTGGGCTAGGCGGTGATCTGTCACGTTTAAGTAGTCTGCCTGATTGATCTGTTGAACATCTTGTTGTTCCTGCTGTAGCGAACAGATGGCCTGCCGCTGATAGGCAGTGCCTCTACCTGTACATTGTGCTGTTGCCCTGCTCAGTGTGTCGCTGATGTACATCTCAGGTCCTGGCTTGTAAATGACCTTCAGGCTGTAGTTTTGCAGAGTCAGGAGCATACTTTGAAGCCTCTTGGGCGCGTTGAGGAGAGGTTTACTGAATATGGCAATGAGTGGTTTGTGGTCAGTTTCAGCGGTGACCAGCTCTCGACCATATAAGTAGTGATGGAATCGCTGGCAGGAGAAGACGATGCTGAGGCACTCTTTCTCAATTTGTGCATAGTTTTGTTCGGTGGGGGTGAGCGCTCTCGAGGCAAACGCAACGGGCTGGCCTTCCTGCATAAGGCAGCATCCAAGTCCCCTTTGGCTAGAGTCGCTCTGGATTGTGACAGGCTTCGTGACGTCGTAGTAGCGCAACACTGGCATGGATGAAGCCAGAGATTTCATCTCCTGCACTGCGGCCTCGTGCTTGGGTAGCCAGTGCCATGGTGTGTCTTTGTCCAGCAACCGGCGCAGAGGCTCACAGACTGCTGATAGGTGTGGCATGAACTTTGCAAGATAGTTTGCAAAGCCGATGAGACGCTGTACTCCTTTTGCATCAGACGGGTTTGGCATGTCGAGGATCGCTTGGACCTTGTCTGGGTCCGGCTTCAGGCCTTTTGCCGAGAGAATGTGGCCATGGAAGTGGACGTCTTTCACCTTGAACTGCAGCTTCTTCAGGCCAAGACGAAGCTTAACTGATCGGCAGCGCTCCATCAGTGCCAGGAGCTTCACATCGTGGTCGCGTTCTGCTTCTTCGTCTGTTTCACCACAGCCTACGATCAGGATATCATCGGCGATGGGTTCAATGCCCTTGAGCCCAGCCAGTAACTCGTGCTGCTTGCGTTGGTATACCTCAGGCGCCACTGAGACACCAAACGGGAGCTTGAGCCAGCGTTTCCGACCCCAGGGGGTCCAGAAGGTAGTCATGAAGCTGCTTTCTTCGTCCAGCTTGCATTGAAGGAATGCATCTCGGGCATCCACCAAGGTGAAAATCCTGGCCTTGGGAAGCTTATAGAGGACATCCTCTAGTGTCGGCATGATGTAGTGGGATCGTTTCAGTGCTTGGTTCAGATGCTTTGGGTCGATGCAGACCCTCAGCTTCTCTGGTTTTTTCACTATGACCATATTGCTGATCCAGTCCGTTGGTTCAGTCACAGATGTCATGTGGCCATCGGCCTCATACTTGTCCAGCTGGGCCTTCACAGCCACTTTCATTGCAATGGGCACATTGCGAGGAGCACACTGGACTGGAGTAATGCTCTCATCCACTTCAAAGTGTACCTCCCCAGGCACTGATTCAACGGGCATGTTGAATACATCGTCATATCTGCTGAGTAGTTGTTCTTTGGACAGGGGTCCATGCTGGACATGATCCACAATGTGCAGGTCATTTG